TGTGTCAAAATCACAAACTCGAAGTGTGTTACTGCTACACCATACAACCTTTGCTGAAGAACACTGTCGGAAGTTAATTATTTTGAAAATATTTTTTCCTTTTTATTGAAAATGAAAGTAAAGTTTTAAATTCCTGTTTTTAACATAGGTGTAGTATAAAAATTCAATCACGTTTTTGAACTATATTTTTTGTTGCCTGGTGACAAATGAAGCTATTTACCAGCTGTTCCATATGTGGGCACACATGTACAATAATTGCAACAATGTAACAAACTGTCAGTACATTGTACTGCAGGGTCAACAGAAAGTGCATTCGAATGGTAGGATTTTTAAATTGATAAATATAAACATAAGGATTGATTGTCTCTTTCAGTTTACTTCATTTGCACGAGGTTCACTTCCCCTCACCAGTCTATGAAAGAAACAAAATAGACAATCAATCCTTTCATATTCTCACTGTGAGATTTTAAATTTTCAATCTGATATCTTGTAACCTTTCGCAGATGTATCTTCATGATGAAGGCACCATTTGGAATGAGGGAAAAGGGTAATTATGAATACTAACTTTCAGCTTTTCAGAGGTATTAAGGGCAATTTTAACAAAGTTGAGGGTTTAAATTATGCTATATCAGAGATGCAGCATTTTGGGTCTGTCTGTCACAATTTATCATGCTCCATCCGTCGTCGTCCGCTGTCTGTAAACTTTTTACTAAGACAACTTCTACTCAATAACCAAAAGGCCCATGGTAATGGTATTTGGTCAGTAGGTACCTGGGATGGAGTGCTACAAACATTCGGTATATGAATGACCTTGACCTAATTCCAAGGTCACATGTGTCAAATGTCTTGTTCGAATGCATGACCTTGATCCACTTTTAAGGTTGCTGTCAAGTTAATTAAAATCTTAGACAACTTCCAAATAAGGGAAAAAAATCTTTTTAGTCAGATGACCGTTAAGGCCCTTGGGTGTTGCTTTAAATGACATCTCAAAACTACCTTGCCTATTAAAACCAATTTTAGTTTGAAGCATTATTGAAGATTGCAATTCAGTTTTTCTTTAATAAGAAGGCATTGAGGGCCCAGTAGGGGCATAAAACAGAATTTATTATTTTCTTACGCTGCCTGTAAATGAAAATTCAACCATCATAAATAATTTTTAAAAAAGCATATCAGTTACCACTAGAATATTTTGAACTCAAAGTGGCCATTAGTGATCTATATGGATAGTTAATTAATATTGACTGAAATTATGATGACATTATGATGTGGTACGCACAGTAGTTTTATTTGATAATTTGTTTGTTACATCAAAAGTCAAAAGGTATTCAGATTATGAACGAGGTAACTTTTCCTGCTGTTGTTAAAGTTAGATTACCAAATATTCATTGATCAATTGTTCATTGAGTCAATAAGATGTTTATTGGCATGAAAAGCTATATATTGCAGTTTTTGGCATGCATGCTGCAGTAGATTGCATGAGCTGAAATTAAACTCATTTTTTTCTCAGCACAAAAGGTGCATAGGAGTCCATGGAGTGTCGAAGACAATAGACTGTTAAAAGACTATTTTCGTAGAAGTATCGTTGACAGAACGCCACCGTCCAAAAATGATGTAATAGTGCAGGGTCGCGAAAATCAGAGAATAAAAGAAAGAATTGAGCAGAGAGGATAGAAGAAAGTAAAATATAACTAGTGGGGTTTAACACAGCAACACCATAAAAAAAACAAAAAAGTCCCTGAAGCAGGTCAAATGAAATGTGTAACTGTGTGAAAACATTGTATTCCTCATATCTATGAGATGTTCCCCACAAACATTTAGCAGTTTACAAACGTTGTATTCCTCACAAGTGTGAGACATTCCCCACAAAGGTTTAGCAGTGTGAAAATATTGTATCCCTCATAAGTATGAGATATTGTTCTCTACAAAGGTTTAGCAGTGTGAAAATATTGTATCCCTCATAAGTATGAGATATTGTTCTCTACAAAGGTTTAGCAGTGTGAAAAAATAGTTTCCTTACAAGTATAAAATATTATTTTCTACAAATACAAGTGTGAAACATTGTGTTCTTCACAAGTGTGAGATATTGTTCTTCACTAACATGTAGCTTAACATAAAAATCCTAGTTGTTACTTTCAGAGTTTACAAATTACATCAAGATTTCTAGTTTATATTTATAGTATAAACGATATTTCGGAATTGATCTTTTACTTTCAAAAACTCCATTGGTTTGCCCTCTCTTTAAACAACCCCATGTGTGGCTGCACCATTTTGTTAGAGGAAGTGACGATAATTTAGTAGATTGGACATATTTGTCTCACAGCTCTTGAGTTGCCATTTGTCATTGTATTTCCGTTTCATATTTAGTAATTGAAATAAATAAATGCGCCTTTATTTTGTTGGTTTTGTCAATTTGCATGTAACCGACGGACTAGGGCGAATAATGTGAAAGCAATGTAGTGAAATTACAATGTAGATGATAGCATTCATGTATTCTTAGGTGTAGGAGAAATATTTACTTTAACTTCTAATTTAATTACTACATTTTTTCATTTGTTACTAAATCCTGAAAGTTAAATATATACACAGTACACGTGATATTTAACTTTTCATCATTAAGCAATTTGAGTTCATTAATGATTTGATTCACATTTCAGAGAATGAAATCATTTCTATTGCTAGCTTTGTAGGCATGCTTGGAAAGTTCTTGAAAAATGCATAGAGACCTGATCGGATCAACTAAATTCAGTATAGATAATTGCTCTATATCCAGTCCAGACCCAATATTGGTAATTGAATTACAGATTCGAGCAGAAACTAATGGGCGAAACAGGAAAGCAAAAATGAGGAAACTTCGTTTTCCAGACATTTAATTATGAAATATCTTTCCCCACAAATGTTCAGATTGTATGAGATATTGTTCCCCACAAACGTTTAGAGAGTGAAATAATTCCTCACCAATTTGAGATGACATTCCCCACATCCATCTGGCAATGTGAAAACATGGTATTGACAAAAAAGAGATGTCACACCCAACAATTACGTAAAAATGTCTGAGGTCTAGAGAGTCTGACAACAACTCGGTTCCTGATGGTAAGTAAAATTGTCTGAAGCCTTGAGAATCTGAAAATTATCCCGGTTCGTGATGGTTGGAAAAAATGTTTGAAGAGATGAGAATCTGACAATGATCCCGGTTTATGACGGCGAGATAAGTCTAGAGTATCTAACAACGATCAAGGTGCATGATGGTAAGTAAAAATCAAAGAAGCTTAAAGAATCTGACAATGATCCCGGTTTATGACGGTAAGTGATGTAAGGTAAATATGTCTGAAGCCTAGAGAATCTAATAACGATCCCGGTTCATAATGACTGGTAAAATGTCTGAAGCTTGGATAATGACAACGATCCCGGTAAAAATGTCTGAATCGATGAGAAACTGAAAATGATCCCGGTTGATGATGTTTAGTAAAAATGTTTGAAGTCTAGAGTATCTAACAACGATCCCGGTTCATAATGGTATTTAAAAATGTCTGAAGTCTAAAGAATTTAACAACGATCCTGGTTCATGATGTTGGGTAAAGATATCTGAAGTCTAGAGAATCTGACAACAATCTCGGTTCCTGATGGTAAGTGATGGTTGGAAAAAATGTCTGAAGAGATGAGAATCTGACAATGATCCCGGTTTATGACGGCGAGTGAAGTCTATAGTATCTAACAACGATCAAGGTGCATGATGGCAAGTAAAAATCAAAGAAGCTTAAAGAATCTGACAACGATCCCGGTTCATGATGTTGGGTAAATAAGTCTGAAACCTGGAGAATCTGACAATGATCCCGGGTTATGATGTTGGGTAAAAATGTTGGAATCCTCGTGAATCTGAAATTGACATCCTGGTTCACAATGGTAGTTAAAATTTCTGAAGTCCCTACAATCTGACATTGGTTTCCTGGTTTACGATTTGGGGTTGAATTGTTTGAAGTCCAGTGAATTTGACACAAAAATACAATCACAAATAAATTAATGTAGGCATTTAATCATTTATGATACATTGTTAATATAATGACATGATTTTTCAGAAATGTCAGTATGACATAAATGTATACATAAAGATTCTCTCTTAATTCAGTGGGACATATCATATTCATACACAATAAAATAAAGCACTTTCCAACAAAAGACCTAATGGGCCTGAATCACTCGCCTGGTATTCAATGTTCATAAATAATACAATCAATGTTCATCACAAATACATTAACACATACACCATTGTTATTCAAAGTTGGCACATCCAATCAATTTAACCAATTAATACCACAAAATTAAACTTCTAACACTCAGCTCTATACAATAACAGTTATGACCTAGATTATAGGCATATGTCATTTCTTCTTTGCAAACTTTGTCTGGATTTTTATTAGGACCCTCCTAGCCAAATATCATGCTTCTTGGGCATTTGGTTAATCTGAAGAAATTGCTTCAAGGTTTTTTCACAAATTTGAGCCCTGTGGTGACCTTGAATACGGGTCAAGGTCATTTTATTTTGCAATCATTGTTAGGCTTCATCCCAGTTATCTACCAGCGAAACATCATGACATTTGGCTTGTTGGTAATTTAGAAGTTGCTTAGTGGGAAAGATGACACCAGTAAATGAACAACAGACAACAGATGATGGACGCCATGTTACAGCATAAGCTCCGTGGATGTTGAAAATGTCAATTCTAATTGGTCAAAACAAAATCAATGTGAAAGAGTGAAATTTTATTTTCATTTTTAATTTATTTTAAGAAGAAATCAGAAGGATTTAACAACAGGTATAAAACCTATAAAAAGTTATCTCCCTTGCTTCCTGATGCATAAAAACCTATAAAAAGTTATCTCCCTTGCTTCCTGATGCATAAATATTATGAAATATCTGCAAAGAATGGATAATACGTAATCATATACAAAACAACACAAATTTACATAAAAAAAATATTTATTATTCAAAATTTGTATCGCTCGAATGTCAAGCATTTTCACATCTGTATAACAAATACAGACTCCACAACTAATACGACTATCTTCAAAGCAATATTTACGCATATCTTGCTCCGTGGCCAAGACAAGCCAACGGGTCAAGAATGCTAAAAAAAATTAATATGACCACAGATTTAAAATAAATATTTAATCAAAATCTTCTACTACTAATTAATACCAACAAACACTGTATATATCAAGAGATAAGATACAGTTAGGAAGTATAAAAATGTTTTGTATAGATTTCCTCTGGGATGGCCTGATTATCTATTAGCTGACTGTAATAGTTTTATCATTAATATCCATGAACTTTTAATGATAACATACCATCCAGTCATCCTGGATACTCCAGAGGTTACAAATCACTTTTACTCTCTGCACCCCTGAAACATGTCATGGAAAATTGAAGGTTCCATGTGCAACACCTTGTTGACAAGATGAAAAGTTTGATCCTCTGATGTACATCAAACAAATCTTACGTTCACATAACAGTATATTGAAATGGCTTTTAAGCTGAGTGTTACTTGTTTGTAATCTTCAAATACTACAAGTATCACATAACTAAATGGCCTTGTTTCACTAATGTCATCAATAAGACCTCAGACAACAACATGCCCACACTGATATCAATAGACCAGACCTGGGATATCTACTAATCCACAATGTTATTTATAAATCTGACTTGGGATATCTACTAATCCACACTGTTATTTATAGATGAGACCTGGGATATCTACTAATCCACACTGTTATTTATAGATCAGACCTGGGATATCTTTCCACACTGTTATTTATAGATCAGACCTGGGATATCTACTAATCCACATGGTTATTTATAGACCAGACTTGGATATCTACTAATCCACACTGTTATTTATAGATCAGACCTGGGATATCTACTAATCCACACTGTTATTTATAGATCAGACCTGGGATATCTACTAATCCACATGGTTATTTATAGACCAGACTTGGATATCTACTAATCCACACTGTTATTTATAGATCAGACCTGGGATATCTTTCCACACTGTTATTTACAGATCAGACCTGGGATATCTACTAATCCACATGGTTATTTATAGACCAGACTTGGATATCTACTAATCCAAACTGTTATTTATAGATCGTACATGGGATATCTACTAATCCACACTGTTATTTTTAGATCAGATTTATAGATCAGACCTGGGATATCTTTCCACACTGTTATTTATAGAGCAGACCTGGGATATCTTTCCACACTGTTATTTATAGATCAAACCTGGAATATTTACTTGTCCATACTGTTTCTTACAGACAAGACCTGAGATATCTACTAATCCACACTGTTATTTATAGATCAGACCTGGGATATCTTTCCACACTGTTATTTATAGATCAGACCTGGAATATTTACTTGTCCATACTGTTTCTTACAGATAAGACCTGAGATATCTACTAATCCACACTGTTATTTAAACATCAGACCTGGGATATCTACTAATCCACATGGTTATTTATAGACCAGACCTGGGATATCAACCATTCTACAGTGCTGTTTACAGAGCAGACCTGAGATATCTATCCACACTGATGCTTATAGATCTGACCTGAGATATCTGCTTGTCCACACTGTTTCTTACAGATCAGACCTGGGATATCTATCTGCCAACTGTTGTTTTGGAGGTAGATCAGGATATCTACCAGTCCAAACTGTTGCTTTTGAGGCAGATTGAGAAATCTGCCAGTCTACACCTCTGTTACCAGTCTGCACTGTTGTTTGCAAGATAGTCTCTGCGACCAATGTTCTGTGCCTGTTTGGTCTGGAGAGCCTCTAGTTTGGGGCAATCTGAGATACGGTGCCCAAGACCACCACAATAAGAACATCCAACTTCTCCTCCAATGTCCAAGTATTTCTCACTTTCTGAAGTCATGCCAGCCAAAAATGGAGGACAGTTTTGTTTTGCCTCAATCAAGAGATGTTTCAAATCCAAAAGAATGCTCTCTTCCACTGTCTTGTTGATGAAGGTGGTTGCGATGCCAGTTTTACCACAGCGTCCAGTACGTCCTATTCTGTGTACATAGTTCTCTATGTCCTCCGGCATGTCATAGTTGATGACATGTTGAATGTCCGGGAAGTCCAGACCTTTCGATGCCACATCTGTAGCCACTAATACATCCTTTTTAAAATGTTTGAATTGGTCGACAGAGCGTGTCCTTTCTTCTTGATCTGCATTAAGGAAAGCACATATTACCAATGAATAACTCACAGTTAACCATGTAATGTCCAAGTGTACATCATAAATTTCCTGACAATTATCTTATATTTAAAACATGTCTGTATCAAACATACACAATCCTTCTTACCTCTACTGACTAATCTTTGGTTAAACTCTTCACTAAGAAGTACCACATTCAACATCATCAGACTCATCACTCTTTTAGGAAGGATGTAATATATCAACATCACAGGTCTGTCTATACATCACTGACCTGTCTATACATCACAGGTATGTCTATATATCACTGGTCTGTCTATATATCACTGACCTGTCTATATATCACTATGTCTATATATCACTGGTCTGTCCATATATCACTGACCTGTCTATATATCACTGGTCTGTCTATTTATCACAGGTCTGTCTATATATCACTGACCTGTCTATATATCAATGGTCTGTCTATATATCACAGGTCTGCCTATATATCACTGACCTGTCTATATATCAATGGTCTGTCTATATATCACAGGTCTGCCTATATATCACTGACCTGTCTATATATCACAGGTCTGTCTATATATCACTGACCTGTCTATATATAACAGGTCTGTCTATATATCACAGGTCTGTCTATACACCACTGACCTGTCTATACACCACGGGTCTGTCTAAATATCACAGGTCTGTCTATACATCACAGGTCTGTCTATATATCATAGGTCTGTCTATATATCACTGACCTGTCTATACATCACTGGTCTGTCTATACACCACTGGTCTGTCTATATATCACAGGTCTGTCTATATATCACTGGTCTGTCTATACATCACAGGTCTGTCTATATATCACAGGTCTGTCTATATATCACTGACCTGTCTATACATCACTGGTCTGTCTATACACCACTGGTCTGTCTATATATCACAGGTCTGTCTATATATCACTGGTCTGTCTATACATCACAGGTCTATCTATATATAACAGACCTACAATGACATACAAATAACAGACCTACAATGTCCTACATATAACAGACCTACAATGACATACATAAAACAGACCTACAATGTCCTACATATAACAGACCTACAATGACATACATATAACAGACCTACAATGACATACATAAAACAGACCTACAATGTCATACATATAACAAACCTACAATGACATACATATAACACACTCAAATGGTGAAAATATACTATTATTTTCATGAGAAAAGTTTTGTGAAAGGATGAAAAGCACACGCGATTAGTTATATATTTATTCCATAATTATTAAAAATCTTGAAGCAGGTAGGTCAGATAACTATGGCTATTGACTTGGGAGGATGATTCCTTTGATCTATAAAAGAGAAATTAACTCACCTTTCCCACCATGAACTGCAACAGCCTCTACCCCTTTCAATAAGAGATATTCATGTATGGAATCTACATCTTGTTTCTTCTCAGCAAATATCAGCACCTTTAAAACAGCAAATCAATACTGCAGACTGTAGTTGTTTGTCAACTCACCTTCATCTAACAGCAGCACCAGTCCTAGTACATGTATGATATACAACCAGCCCTAGATACATGAATGATATACAACCAGCCCTAGATACATGTATGATATACAACCAGCCCTAGATACATGAATGATATACAACCAGCCCTAGATACATGAATGATATACAACCAGCCCTAGATACATGTATGATATACAACCAGCCCTAGATACATGTATGATATACAACCAGCCCTAGATACATGTATGATATACAACCAGCCCTAGATACATGTATGATATACAACCACCCCTAGATACATGTATGACATACAACCAGCCCTAGATACATGAATGATATACAACCAGCCCTAGATACATGTATGATATACAACCACCCCTAGATACATGTATGACATACAACCAGCCCTAGATACATGTATGATATACAACCAGCCCTAGATACATGTATGATATACAACCAGCTCTAGATACATGTATGATATACAACCAGCCCTAGATACATGAATGACATACAACCAGCTCTAGATACATGTATGATATACAACCAGCCCTAGATACATGAATGACATACAACCAGCCCTAGATACATGTATGATATACAACCACCCCTAGATACATGTATGATATACAACCAGCCCTAGATACATGAATGATATACAACCAGCCCTAGATACATGATATACAACCAGCCCTAGATACATGTATGATATACAACCAGCCCTAGATACATGAATGATATACAACCAGCCCTAGATACATGTATGATATACAACCAGCCCTAGATACATGTATGATATACAACCAGCCCTAGATACATGTATGATATACAACCAGCTCTAGATACATGTATGATATACAACCAGCCCTAGATACATGTATGATATACAACCAGCCCTAGATACATGTATGATATACAACCAGCCCTAGATACATGTATGACATACAACCAGCCCTAGATACATGTATGATATACAACCAGCCCTAGATACATGTATGATATACAACCAGCTCTAGATACATGTATGATATACAACCAGCCCTAGATACATGTATGACATACAACCAGCCCTAGATACATGTATGATATACAACCAACCCTAGATACATGTATGACATACAACCAGCCCTCGATACATCTGCAATATACAATCAGCCCTAGATACATGTATGATATACAACCAGCCTTAGATACATGTATGACATACAACCAGCCCTAGATACATCTGCAATATACAACCAGCCCTAGATACATGTATGATATACAACCAGCCCTAGATACATGTATGATATACAACCAACCCTAGATACATGAATGATATACAACCAGCCCAAGATACATGTAGATACATGAATGATATACAACCAGCCCTAGATACATGTATGATATACAACCAACCCTAGATACATGAATGATATACAACCAGCCCAAGATACATGTATGACATACAACCAGCCCTAGATACATGTATGATATACAACCACCCCTAGATACATGAATGATATACAACCAGCCTTAGATACATGTATGACATACAACCAGCCCTAGATACATCTGCAATATACAACCAGCCCTAGATACATGTATGATATACAACCAGCCCTAGATACATGTATGATATACAACCAACCCTAGATACATGTATGACATACAACCAGCCGTAAATACATGTATGACATACAACCAGCCCTATATACATGTATGACATACAACCAGCCCTAGATACATGTATGACATACAACCAGCCCTAGTTATGTACATACATTTGTCTATTGTATGTAAATTTTGGAATATACAGAGAACAGGAAATTAGTGCTGCACTGCATTTTCTTGCCATTTTTTGATAAATCTATTTTGACATTTAACCTGAGTTTACATAATTCTTTATTTTTGTACTTCACTGAACTTGTAATTATAACAAACATCCTTACCACAACATGGCAAGGTGAGGGTTAGAGACCCTATGCACACTTGTTCATGTGAGAAAGAATTTGCCCTCAGATACTTACAGGAGGGGCTGTTTTCTGCAAACATTCCAGTAGGTACATCATCTTGGCCTCCTGTTTAACATATTCCACCTCTTGGATGACGTCCAAACTAGCTGCACCTGCCCGTCCCACATTTACTGTTACAGGTTTCACAAGAGCACTTCGTGCAAAGTTCTGGATCTTCTTAGGCATGGTGGCAGAAAACAGTAAAGTTTGTCTCTGACTCTGGAAGATGGAAACAAATAAAGTTTGCCTCTAGCTCTAGAAGATGGGAAACAAATAAAGTTTGCCTCTAGCTCTAGAAGATGGGAAACAAATAAAGTTTGCCTCTAGCTCTAGAAGATGGAAACAGTAAAGTTTGTCTCTGGCTCTGGAAGATGGAAACAAATAAAGTTTGTCTCTAGCTCTAGAAGATGGAAACAAATAAAGTTTGTCTCTGGCTCTGGAAGATGGAAACAAATAAAGTTTGTCTCTAGCTCTAGAAGATGGAAACAAATAAAGTTTGTCTCTGGCTCTGGAAGGTCAAAACAAATAAAGTTTGCCTCTAGCTCTAGAAGATGGGAAACAAATAAAGTTTGTCTCTAGCTCTAGAAGATGGAAACAGTAAAGTTTGTCTCTAGCTCTAGAAGATGGAAACAGTAAAGTTTGCCTCTAGCTCTAGAAGATGGAAACAGTAAAGTTTGTCTCTGGCTCTGGAAGACGGAAACAGTAAAGTTTGTCTCTGGCTCTGGAAGATGGAAACAGTAAAGTTTGTCTCTGGCTCTGGAAGACGGAAACAGTAAAGTTTGTCTCTGGCTCTGGAAGATGGAAACAGTAAAGTTTGCCTCTGGCTCTAGAAGATAGAAAACAGTAAAGTCTGTCTCTGGCTCTAGAAGATGGAAACAGTAAAGTTTTTCTCTAGCTCTAGAAGATGGAAACAAATAAAGTTTGTCTCTGGCTCTGGAAGATGGAAACAAATAAAGTTTGCCTCTAGCTCTAGAAGATGGAAACAAATAAAGTTTGTCTCTGGCTCTGGAAGGTCAAAACAAATAAAGTTTGCCTCTAGCTCTAGAAGATGGGAAACAAATAAAGTTTGTCTCTAGCTCTAGAAGATGGAAACAGTAAAGTTTGTCTCTAGCTCTAGAAGATGGAAACAGTAAAGTTTGCCTCTAGCTCTAGAAGATGGAAACAGTAAAGTTTGTCTCTGGCTCTGGAAGACGGAAACAGTAAAGTTTGTCTCTGGCTCTGGAAGATGGAAACAGTAAAGTTTGTCTCTGGCTCTGGAAGATGGAAACAGTAAAGTTTGCCTCTGGCTCTAGAAGATAGAAAACAGTAAAGTCTGTCTCTGGCTCTAGAAGATGGAAACAGTAAAGTTTTTCTCTAGCTCTAGAAGATGGAAACAGTAAAGTTTGTCTCTGGCTCTGGAAGATGGAAACAGTAAAGTTTGTCTCTGGCTCTGGAAGATGGAAACAGTAAAGTTTGTCTCTGGCTCTGGAAGATGGAAACAGTAAAGTTTGCCTCTGGCTCTAGAAGATAGAAAACAGTAAAGTCTGTCTCTGGCTCTAGAAGATGGAAACAGTAAAGTTTTTCTCTAGCTCTAGAAGATGGAAACAGTAAAGTTTGTCTCTGGCTCTGGAAGATGGAAACAGATAAACTTGGCTTTGTACTGAAAGTAAGAAAGTACACAATGAGCTGTATTGGAAACAGCATCAGTAGAGAGGATTAAATGATCCAATTCCCTCTTTCTTTCTCTATTATGGGAATCAACAAGTAATTTTGTCAAGCGGGTCTGAGGGACATGAGTCAATTAACAATCTCTTCATAGACTGAAGTCACTTTTTAAATTTCATGAACAGCAAATGTGGTGCATTACACTGATACCTTTTATATATACAGCGCAAAATCCCCATTTGTTTAAAGTTAATTCCCTTTAAATGAAAATCACGGCAATTTTAACCCATGAATTAATCAGCCTTATGACATACAGAATATAATTTTTTTAATATTTCAGCTAGCATACCTTGAAATATGAGAAGATGGTCCGAACATCCTCCTCAAACCCCATATCTATCATACGGTCAGCTTCATCCATCGCCAGGTACCGACACACATCAAGGGTGACCATTTTCTTATTGAGCATGTCCATTAGTCGACCAGTTGTGGCAACAAGAATGTGTATCCCTCTTAAAACAAAACAGTAATAATTCCTATGATAGTCAGAATTGATAAACACTGTCCCTTTAAAACAAAACAGTAATGATTCCTATGATTGTCAGGATTGTAAACCATTTTTACAACATGACCTGTCATAAACAGACTTAAAAGTAATAAGAACTAAGTCATAAGTTAGGGACCAAAAAATTCAGTATCAAATATTTTAATGAAAACTTATTTTGTCTTGTAAGTCTTGTTGTACCTCCTTACTGTGTCTACTTGTGTGTTTGGTGCCATTTGCCAGCAAGCGATACACCCAACTTAATGATAACCTGGATTAAACTAGGGTACCCATGCTCTTACAAAACACAAGTTTGCTTTGGCACATACAGCAGCGTTTGCATGACTATTACTTGTAAATCATACACAGGCTCATCTTGTATCTGAAAACAGTTTGTCAAAAACTGACAAATGCTGAAAGGGGGCAAGCTTCTGGAATATTTCATGGTAGTATGACATACAGGTAAGTATCTGCACGTTTTAATGTCAGCCATTTTGTTACTTCTAAGCTAATGCAGTGCCTGAACCCAACTAGGCATGTTGACCCAGATATATAAGGCCTTGAAAGACTACAGATAGAGAAGATAGACTTCTAGACAGGCACAACCTCCATTCACCACTGCCAATAGAAGCAGAGGACAGTGGATTGTCAATGTTTACATTCGCTGAAATCCTGTCCACAGAAGGCTTACCAATCGGTGACCTCACTCTAGAGAAACAGTAAAACATCCACTGTTGACTGAGAGGCACAAACAAACCAGAGGCTCCATGTTTGGAGACCATGAAATACAGTGTCTCATCAGAATCACATTCTGGGTACAACATGTTGGTATATATGTCCTTGGTGGAACTTTAAATGGGTGAGACTGTTGAGATCAGATTCTTTGACCTTTCTGAACTGTGATGCACAACCACTGGCAGATTGGTCTATTCTAACCACTGAAAATGGCAAACCGCAAAAAGGCCTATTGCAAGATTATTTTCAACAAGAAGTGATAGAGACTCTAAATGGCCTAAAATGTAACCTGATATGAACCAACTGAGCATGTGTGGCACCATCTTGGACAAAAAGGTCACTATACTTGATCTAAAATGCTGCACTGATTCAGGAGTGGCAGAGTCAAGCTCCAGTGTCTGGTCATTAATACAATGAGCACAAGCATTAGTGTGTTGGATATATCCAACATTTTCATACCCAGAAGAACTCGTTGATTGGTTTATTTTCTTAATTAAGTAACATGCTTTGGCGATTTGATGATTATCTCTGATGAGACATTTACGTCAATCATTTTTTATACTTAAGGAATGCCTTTTTGAGTACATCTTTTTAAAATGACACAGCACTTCAGGTTCTATAAAACTTCTATTCCTGTCCACTGTGTATACTAGTAGTGTTGTAAGACATCTAAAGCATTCCTTTATATCCTGTCGAGTTGTCCATGAATATTTTGCTTATTTTGTGGTAGTCAGAGATGTTTCTGGAGGAAAATCAAAAGCTAAAATAATGTCAGGGGTCGTGGGACAAAGGTGCCACTGCAGCCGAGGATATTACATCCAAAGTGGTACAATATTCACCTTCCCTCTTAACATAATCCTTAACTCAAATTTACATTTACGAAATTCATTCTATAATTTCTATAATTTTGACAAAACTTACGCCTTGATGACCTCAAGTTGCTCCTTGACAGACACGCCCCCAATACAAAGACCACAGTGTAACAGAGGGAACCCATCATCAGCTAAGCACTGACTGTAGTACTGAATTATCTCATGGGTTTGTCGTGCCAACTCTCTCTATAAAAAAAAATTACATTAGTCACCTCATTGTAAACATCACTGAAAATTGTCAGGAAACCTTGTCAAATTCCAATAATATTTTCAATTTACCAAAGCTAATATTACCATTAGTGTAGTGCAACTCAAAGACCTACTAATAGACATATGATGAGACTGTAGGTCCCTCCCCCTTATATAGACTTACTGTTGGACATATGATGAGTCTATAGGCCCCTCCCCCTTATATAGACTTACTGTTGGACATATGATGAGTCTATAGGCCCCTCCCCCTTATATAGACTTACTGATAGACATATGATGAGTCTATAGGTCCCTCTCCCGTATATAGACTTACTGATGGACATGAGACTGTAGGTCCCTCCCCCTTATATAGACTTACTAATAGACATATGATGAGTCTATAGGTCCCTCTCCCGTATATAGACTTACTGATGGACATGAGACTGTAGGTCCCTCCCCCTTATATAGACTTACTAATAGACATATGATGAGTCTATAGGTCCCTCTCCCGTATATAGACTTACTGATGGACATGAGACTGTAGGTCCCTCCCCCTTATATAGACCTACTAATGGACATATGATGAATCTATAGGCCCCTCTCCCTTATATAGACCTACTAATGGACATATGGTGAGATTGTAGGTCCCTCTGCTTTATATAGACTTACTGATGGACATATGGTGAGACTGTAGGTCCCTCTCCCTTATATAGACTTACTGTTGGACATATGATGAGTCTATAGGCCCCTCCCCCTTATATAGACTATCTGATGGACATGAGACTGTAGGTCCCTCTCCCTTATATAGACTTACTGATGGACATGAGACTGTAGGTCCCTCTCCCTTATATAGACTTACTGATGGACATATGATGAGACTGTAGGTCCCTCCCCCTTATATAGACTTACTGTTGGACATATGATGAGTCTATAGGCCCCTCCCCCTTATATAGACTTACTGATGGACATATGGTGAGATTGTAGGTCCCTCTGCTTTATATAGACTTACTGATGGACATATGATGAGTCTATAGGCCCCTCTCCCTTATATAGACTATCTGATGGACATGAGACTGTAGGTCCCTCTCCCTTATATAGACTTACTGATGGACATATGGTGAGATTGTAGGTCCCTCTGCTTTATATAGACTTACTGATGGACATATGATGAGTCTATAGGCCCCTCTCCCTTATATAGACTATCTGATGGACATGAGACTGTAGGTCCCTCTCCCTTATATAGACTTACTGATGGACATGAGACTGTAGGTCCCTCTCCCTTATATAGACTTACTGATGGACATGAGACTGTAGGTCCCTCTCCCTTATATAGACTTACTGATGGACATGAGACTGTAGGTCCCTCTCCCGTATACAGACTTACTGATGGACATGAGACTGTAGGCCCCTCTCCCTTATACAGACTTACTAATGGACATGAGACTATAGGTCCCTCTCCCTTATATAGACTTACTGATGGACATATGATGAGACCATAGGGTCCCTCTCCTTTGATGAAGGGTAGGCGTTTTTCCTGTTCCAGACAAAACATAATGATGGGTAGAGTAAAGACGAGAGTCTTGCCAGATCCTGTGAAAGCGATACCAATCATATCTCGTCCCAACAATCTGCAAAATCAGAGTTTACAAACAATAGTATTTTGAACAAGAGAACCAAGGCAGATCTTGGCATGCAAGATATTGTCTGATATTTATTTGTGTTTTAAAAGTTTGGTCTTTTCCCTTTTTTCCCTGTTCTTGCCTATAAGTAGAATAATGAAATTCCTCTTAAGAGATTGTCACAAAAATCCCCAACTGCCAAATCCAAGATGTCCACTTTTCAGCCATTTCTGATTTTCTAGTAAGTTCCAAAATCAAATGTACACATCAAGGGACCAAGAGGAATCAACAGATGAAATCTGAGAAAGATCCATCCAATATTTCTCAGGAAATAACAAACTTACATAGTCAAAATCTAAGACTGTCGGTTGACTATTTTGTTTTTCAATCCCAAAATCAAACTGGCACAACTAAAAGCAATGGGGAACCTTTTGTTTCAAATTTGCGAAAGATCCACACAAGACTTCTCAAGAAATAGTGATAACAACAAGGACTTGCCAGGACGGCCAACTAATACCCAATGCCTCCCAATCAACAGTAGTTAAGGAGGGGCTGTCCTAACAAGATTCCTCCTGTTCATTTGGTCACCATGGCTACCAAATGGAAACAATTTTTGTCTGAAAATGATATCATTGTGTTTGTCATCCCCTAAACTTTTGTATACCAATTTTCAATTTAATCATATTTGGATGAAGAGATATTTATTTCATTTAAACACATGTGTCTTGGAAGGGAGGAGCCCAAGAAGAGAGAAAGAGCAAATTCTTTGAAATCCTACTTCTCCTGTAGTAATGATTGAATTTTGGTATGAATGGTGGGTCTTGGCCTCCAAGGTCAGGAGGGAGGAGGAAATCGATTTTTTGAAATAGGTTATATCTTTGAAGCAGATGAGATCCCTGACCCTATAACTGTATATAGCATTGCTGGTCATAAAGAGAGAAAGCCTATAATTTGACATAATAGATGTTCCAAAACTATTACCATGGAAACACTTTGGAAGCTTCTGATTAGTGGAAATTAAGATATTATCTGATTAAATTGAAAACTGGTATACAAAAGTTTGTGCCGATGACAAATACAATGATATCATTTTCAGACAAAAATTGCTTCCATTTGGTAGCCATGGCGACCAAATGAACAGGAGGAATCTTGTTATGGCTAAATCCATACCAACAGGAGTAGGATTTTAAAGAATTTGCTCTTTTTCACAGATTTTGACACTGCCCTGTCCCTCCTGCCCAAGGGCGGCAAGACTGACAGTTTATATAAAATGATTCCCATTACCCAAACAATCAAAATTTGAACCATCACTACCACCCCTCCCATCGCAGGGCGCCAAGACACACCTTTTATACTTAGTTGATTCCCCTTCACCACAATATGATTCAGACTAAATTTGGGCAAAATCCAATCATACCAACAGGAGTACAATTTTTAAAAATTAGCTCTATTTCCCCATTTGGGAATTTGGTCAAAATCCTGTCAGTCATTTAAGACAAGTAGTGATTTTTTAGGAAAAAAATTACCGATGTACTGACAGATGCTAGATGCCTGTATACAAAAGACACACAAATGAATGGCTTAACAAAGAAATGGATAAAATGCATCATACTGCTGTTCTATCCTGTGACCTGTGATTACGACCAGTAACCTGTACACTGTGACCTGTGATTAAGACCAGTAACCTGTACACTGTGACCTCTGATTACGACCAGTAACCTGTACATTGTGACCTGTGATTAAGACCTGTGACCTGTCCACTGTGACCTGTGATTACGACCAGTAACCTGTACACTGTGACCTGATTATGACCAGTAATCTGTACATTGTGACCTGTGATTAAGACCTGTGACCTGTACACTGTGACCTGTACACTGTGACCGGTGATTACGACCTGTGACCTGTACACTGTGACCTGTGATTGAGACCTGTGACCTGTACACTGTGACCTGTGATTATGACCAGTAATCTGTACACCAAGACCTGTGATTATTGAACCAGTAACCTGTACACTTTGACCTGTATACATGACCTGTGACCTGTATACATGACCTTTAAGCTTACACAGTAGGTATTCCTTGGATTTGTATGGGTGTAGGTTTGGTGATTCCCTTTTTCTTAAGCCCAGAGATTATGGCCTTTGGGAACTTCATCTCCTTGAAGTTAGCTATAGGTGGGGGTAGGTCTTCTCCCTCCACCAGAATGTGCATCTTTTTACGCAGACGTTCATGTCGTGTCTCACTCAACTCCCTGATACAACGGGGTGGCAGCCACCTGTAATATGCATTTAAATGTGTTTTTCTTAAAGAAAGCTATAAATTCAGGTAAGAAATTCTAATGTGACAAGGCTCCCCCACACACACCCTGCTTTCAATATCCTTTCTCAGCCTCCTTTGAACAACAGCTTTGAGGTATTTTTTATTGCCCTTTGATCGTAAACTGACTTCTAGCTTATTTAGATCATATATTCACCATCCCAAGAAACAGTCTACAAACTCTACAACCACTCAGACAAAGAGCAACTAAACAATAGTCCAGTAGTTATTGATGAGGACTTAATATCATCTTTTAAACAATCTTTGTTTAGTACTCTGATATATTATGTGATGCAATATTTTTTTTATACTTTTTAAAAGATGCATAATCAATTTGAATGAGAGACTTAGTGGAACAAGCAACATCACAGGAATCAAATTACCACAAATATATAATACCTATCCTTACCCAGTCTTGATGGCTTCCTGATACTGAATACCCTTTGCTAACTCGGCCACACCCATCAAAGCTGAGAGAGAAACAAATTCAGTCATTACTGTGCTGTTTAAAACATAAACAATACCAAACCAGTCACACATTTAATGTATTACAATGTATCAACCAGTCACACATTTAATATATTACAATGTATCAACCAGTCACACATTTAATGTATTACTACTATATCAACCAGTCACACATTTAATGTATTACAATGTATCAACCAGTCACACATTTAATGTATTACAATGTATCAACCAGTCACACATTTAATATATTACAATGTATCAACCAGTCACACATTTAATGTATTACTACTATATCAACCAGTCACACATTTAATGTATTACTACTGTATCAACCAGTCACACATTTAATGTATTACTACTATATCAACCAGTCACACATTTAATGTATTATTACTGTATCAACCAGTCACACATTTAATGTATTACTGCTGTATCAACCAGTCACACATTTAATGTATTACAATGCATCAACCAGTCACACATTTGATGTATTACAATGTATCAACCAGTCACACATTTAATGTATTACTACTGTATCAACCAGTCACACATTTAATGTATTACAATGTATCAACCAGTCACACATTTAATGTATTACAATGTATCAACCAGTCACACATTTAATGTATTACAATGTATCAACCAGTCACACATTTAATGTATTACAATGTATCAACCAGTTACACATTTAATGTATTACAATGTATCAACCAGTCACACATTTAATGTATTACAATGTATCAACCAGTCACACATTTAATGTATTACAATGTATCAACCAGTCACACATTTAATGTATTACAATGTATCAACCTGTCACAATAATGAAGTTCATCTCTTCTCCAGGTGGAAATGTTAGACCCTGGGGTCATGAACTTTACAATTTTCTTAAAGTACCCAATCATTTCCACCTATGCAGAGTCTTTGATTCTACCATATTTGGGTATTCAGAAGAAGATTTTTAAAAATTTCAGACAACTTGACACTTGTGTGGCCCGTCTTTCAGCATGTGGGAGTGGGGACCATTGATTAACCTTTGGGCATGGAAGGCTTTTACCAAGTTTCATTGATATTGGTTCATGGGTTTTCCAGAAGTCAAAAATGTAAAAAGTTTATGAACGCACAACGGACGACAGATGATGCCAGACAAATGAGTATCTCACTAGGTCACCATAAGACTTTGTCTCGGTGACCTAAACACTTAATCACACATTATACAACCAATGGTATAAAGCAAACGTACCAGTTTTCTCAGCAACACTTTCTAATATTCTTTCTTCCTCTTTGAGCAATTTTTCTCGGGCTGTTTCTTTCTTAGCTGAAAAAAAAAAATTTGTTTACAAAAGAAAATCGTAAGTAGTCACAGAAGGCAAAGCTCCTTGATAAATAATTCAGCTATCAATTTTGTGTTATAAACTTTGATATCCTATTATACACTACCAAACATTGTGTCAAGATGTTTTTGATTTCTCACTCTCCAAATGCCATCAAAGAGTTCGGCATTTACCTGAAACTAACTTGATCATGTCTTACAATTCAATCAAACATATCATAGCTACTCATTCCAATTTATTATAAATATGAAACATATTTCATACTTTTGTTATACATTGTATCTTGAGTTGTGTCAAAATGTCAGAACTTGGTTTGCCTTAAAACGTCTTACCTTGATTGTGTTAAAATGTCCTACCTTGATTTGTATTAAATTGTCCTACCTTGATATGTATTAAAATGTCCTACCCTGATTGTGTTAAAATTTCCTACCTTGATTGTGTTAAAATGTCCTACCTTGATTTGTATTAAAATATTCAAACTTGGTAAGTGTCAAAATGTCCTACACTGATTTGTGTTAGAATATACAAACTTGCTTTGTGATGAAACATCCAACCTTGGTTTGTGTTAAAGTGTCTTTCCATGATTTGTGTTGAAATATACCAACTTGTGTTTGTGTTAAAATGTCCTAACTTGATTGTGTTAAAATATCCTAACTTGGTTTGTATTAAAATGTCCTAACTTGGTTTGTGGTAAAATGTCCTAACTTGTGTTTGTGTTAAAATGTCCTACCTTCAGCTTTTTTCTTCAGTTCACTATGCTGATCCAGTAGACTGATATGTGACCTCTCTCCTGCTCCTTGTGTTTCCTCCTCTTCACCACTATTGTCTTCATCTTCACGTTCCGAGATCTCTGATCCTTCAGAAGTACTCTGTTTTATTGCTTCCTCCTCCTCCTTGATCAGGGCAGCAGCGCGGCCAAGTCGCATCTCAACATTCTGAAACTGTACAACAGAAGGTACAAGAGATCCCAGAGGTATTTTGGTGCCCACCACTGTTTGATCTTTGTTCTTTGAAAGTTGGATCTTTTCCCTTCTTACTTCACTTCCCTGTTTTTGTTCTTAAGACATTATAAGACATTTGAACATTTCTTTACAGAAATAGCGATGAAAATCTTTACCTGCCAAATCCAAAATGGCCACCTGGAAGTCATTTTGTTTCTTCTATTGAGTCCCAAAATCAAACAAGCACAAAGAAAGACCAAAGGCAGGGCTCAACATGAACTTTTTTGGTTACCTGTCCTGTCGGAAAGGTTTACTAAAAATTTACCTGTCCAAATGATTTATGTACCTGTCCAACATTTCTAACAAGATAAATTCAAAATCAAAACATTGACTTAATGTTTTAATGTTGCTTCCATTTAACTAAAGCTACAAGGTGGATATGAAAATAAACAATTTAAACAATGAACAACAGTTCTCATAATGCTTTCACTCATTCACTGTTCAAATTTTAAACCTGAGGCCTCCTCTGTCTGTCACCCCCATGCCACCACAGCTTCAGTGCTTTGCAAGTCCAATACAAGAATGCCAGAAATGGAGATATCAGATTGTTGAGCATGACTATGGTCAGAGTTGATCTCCGATTTGACTTTGTCCCAGGCATTGTGGAAAAGCAACACTCACAAACAGAGGTTGATATCGGGATGCAAAGTATGATTTCCACAAGAATCAAAATATTGCTGCATTTTTCTTCCAGAGTAGGTGTACAGAAAAGTCTTCTGTACATTTCTAGTACACTTAATGATGTTGGCTGTTTCTAAAGGTAGTTTTTGAGTGCACTCAGGCCAATCAGTATTTTTCAGTACTTTGATGTCACAACCAAGACACTCAAGAATGTCGCAGAAGTGCCTGCATAGAGTTTCAATTTGTTCTTCTTCATAAACAGCCAATTCAGAAATATCAAATGACAGATACACAGGAAAGAAGATCTGCACGGATTTCAAAAGGTCATTCCTGGAGTCATCCACACGAGCACAAGCATGGTTTAAAACTACATCTAAAAGAGCTTTCTCCTTCTCCTGAGTGTTTTCAGAGGTAAAATTAGTGTCAGTTTCACTTCCCTCCTCTGTAGACAAAGTCTTCAGAAACTTTTGCCAGAAAATCCTGCAAACTATCACTAGGCCAATGCCCTAGTGCCACTAATTGTAGAGTGGCAGTCTCAACAGCCTCAATAGTGTCTGGCATAATACAACCATCCTTCTCGAACTTAAGGGATAGGACAGTGAAAATCTGAAATATGTCTAGCCTCTACTGTGTTTTCAAAGTGAGGCTACAATTAATTCATAATTTCCAGTCAAGTTTTTCAAAGCCTCACTTAAATGGACCATCCATCTTGTTTCTTTCAAGTTACCAGGTTTTTAGGAACTTGGAATCCATGATATTTGCTATACATAATAGTTCCCTAACAGCTTTGGGGGAGTAAAAGTAATGTTTGTGTATTTCTTGAAGGATATCTTGGAGAAAATGGGTAGAATCCTTGTCTTTCATTGTGTCTGAAGTACCAAGCTCTAATCGATGGCCTATGTCGTGCATCACAATTATGTGATGTGCATGCTCCTTCAAATGAATTGCAACCCTGTTGTTTTTTTCTTGGGCCCATCTGACCCCATACCAACCAATTTGTCTTTCATGTCACTACTGATGGAGGTCATAGCTTTATCTACTACTTTAAAGACACCAGCTGCATGTGCGTGTTCAAGAGCTTCATGAAGAAATCTGCTATGACACAAATGTGCATTGCTCTTGCATAAATGATTTCATTTTCACAAGTGCTAGTGTATGCTGTTATAGTAAAATACAACTGACTACACTAGCATTTTGAAGGACTTCATGAGCAAGTTGGGAAGACTCTTCATGTATAATAAACGTGAACAGTGAATTTAATTACCATCAATTTAATTTGCATATTTTAAATGAAATTTATAATCATACATATGTATGTATATCATTCTTGTGTCATTATTTGATTAGACAGCCAATCAATCTTTAAAAAGATATTCTCTTGTAGCTCTAACAGTGATGGATATAACAGTTCTTTCTTAACAACAAAATAGGCTTTGTTGAAACAGTTCTTTCTTAACAACAAAATAGGCTTTGTTGAAACAGATCTTTCTTAACAACAAAATAGGCTTTGTTGAAACAGATCTTTCTTAACAACAAAATAGGCTTTGTTGAAACAGTTCCTTCTGAACAACAAAATATGCTTTGTTGAAACAATAACCAATTGCTCACTGTGCTCTTTATCAATTTTCTTTATTTGTTCATCCATCTGACCTGTAAGTTGTGATTGTCTCCCCTTCTGCATCTCTCTCAGTACTGTGGCCTCTGTAATCAACAGATAGCGGGCCTTTTGTCTGTGATTTGTTAGTCAGATATTGGTTATGATACAGCTGAAGAGATGAACTGAAATTGTGGCTGGTTATGTTTTTGATTCTGAAGCTATTGGTCTCTGTTACAAAGACTGGTTACAGTTGTCAGCATCAGTTGTCATCGTATTTCAACCAGTCATACTCTTCACACCATTTTTGCAAAAACTTTCTGCTTCTCCTTTTTTGTTCTTCTTTCTGTTTTTTTTGTCTGGATTATCACCCCGACTTGCTGAACCCAAACGCTAAAAGTCTTGGGCCTTTCTTTGTTATACTGACAAATCTAACTTCGACAGTTCACCGGATCACTGCACTGCAGGAGTATATCTGGTGTTGTTATGTGTCCTCTTGATCTCCTAAGCGTTTAGCATTTAATAATCACATGGCTGCCTTATTCAAACATTTTACAGAAAGTGATTAAGCTTCATATGCATTGTATTGTAGGCTACGACGGCGCTAATCAAGTTTTGATGCAGCAATGTTAATACAGGCCTATCATATAATATCAAGCAATACCAACACATTTAAACAGGATGACATTTTTTTTAGTTTTGACCATATATTTTTACCTGTCCCGTTGGACAGGTTAGGCCCAACTTCTACCTGTCCGACAAGCAGATCTACCTGTCCCAGACAGTTGTTAATGTGGAGCCCTGCCAAAGGGAACATACAAATGAAATTTGAGAAAGATTTTTGGAGAAGTTCTCAAGATATAATGATAACAAACTTTCAAAGTCAAAATCTAAGATGTCCGTCTGTCTGCCATTTTTTTTTTAAATAGTCCCAAAATCGAACAAGCACGACTAGAGACCAAGGGGAACTTACATATGCAATTTGAGAAAGATCCATCCCATTCTTCTTAAGAAATAGTGATAAAAAATGTTTACGGATGGACCACAGACGCAGAGCGATTTGAAAAGCCCACCACCTGATGATGGTAAGTTAAAAAAAAAAAAAAAAAAAAACAGGATGGGGAAATTTAGGGTGGGACAGCTGGGAGGGTCACCATGGCCATGAAAAACTGAACCATTAATCTATTTTCGTACTAATTAACTTTTTTCACCAATTTTTTTTCTATTCACCCTGATTCAATCATATAAACACATACAAGAAAAACTATGTCTGTGGTGGGAAATGAATCACAGCTCATTACTGTTCAGCACTTCCTTTTTGTTACTTGACATTCCCCCAATAAACACTAGTTCCCCCCACCCCCTCTAGGAAGCATTGCTAAGATCAGCTGCCAGCCTGATATTTACCAACATGGGCAGATTTCCTGATTATACAACAGAAGACAGTGATGACAATCTCAATAAAGATTTGTTTCCTAAGATATCAATGGTAGAAGGTATAAAACATTTGTAGACTGGATTTTTGGCCAACTTGTGTTTTGTTGAACCCTCGGATCAAACTGTTGCCTTCAGCCAAACTCATGTTGACCTCAAACCCAGTCAACAAATGTATACTGATACTAAACAATCTGTGGACATTGTCCAGTGTTAATGAAATATTTTTAACTGGTGTTAATAGACATTTTCAAGACTTTTGTTTTTCTTAAAATTTTCATTTACACTGTAATCTTAAATGCATTAAGTTTTATTATAGATCAACTGGTTAAAGTATTTATTCAGTTACTTTACCTGTGTTAATGAATTCCAGTCAATAATTCTGTGAATTACAGGTGGTTACAATATATATTAGTTACTTTACCTGTGCCTTTTTACGCTGTTTGACAGGTATGTAAGGGACATAGTTCTCGTCATCTGAAGATTCTTCAGACTGTCTTCCTGAAATTTTCCTCTGAAAGGATAACAAATACAGAATATTTCTTTAAACCAGTTAAGTATTAGTTACATCTTGTTTCAGAATTTGGTATAAGTAGCACAAGCCTGATTCGGACACATGTCAGACATTGACCAACTGAATTCAGAAATGACCTTTTTTTTTTCAATATACCCTTATGATAAATTTCTTTAACTCATATTTTCAATCTTATGTTACCTCCGCCAACAAAATCAAAATTAAATCAAAGTTTTTATTGTGTGGTCCTTTTTTTCTCAAATGAGTCATATTTCTTGGCAAACTTTTTTAAGTATAACTATTTCTCTTAAGCTATTTCTTTTATATGTCAGTCTTCAACTCACAAGTTGATTAAAATCAGAAATTTCATAAAAAGCTATTTGTTCTTTCTTTCATTCTTCCTGGAAGCTTATGCATGGATTGTTATTACAACCAAGATACATATTATGCTGTTTGGGTATTTACTGAAATCCGCCAGTGAGTTGTAGTTTTTAAAATAATTAATAAAAATATTTCTAAGTGGAATTAACCCACTATTTTTTTCATACAGACAAATATGTCTTTAAAGAACACAATTCTAGGTCCATTCTCTTAAAACATGATTGATACAAGTTTCAATTTCCTCCATTTCGATAAATTCAACTCTATTTCGGTAAATATTCCAACCCCATATTATGTACATAACGATCCGGAACCGAGACGATATATAAGATCTGCATTGCCACATAACAGCTAACGTCTGATCAAAGTTAGAATAAACAAATATCAGAGAAGGTTCATATTTCAATTTAGTTATATGCATTACCGCTTCGGATGAAATTCGTCAACATACTACATAACACATAATCCAAGAATTCAATTTTGAGGTGCCGATGCGGCAATGTCGGTTAGACTGTGATTTTTTTCGAGTTTGTTTGTCGTGAGGCCGACAGGTTGACTGTTTACTTACCCGTCGACTCTGAGAGTACATCTCAACAAAATCCCAACAATAAGATAGTTTTGAATTTCAATCCACCAATGTGTACGACGACCAAACGTATAAACACGCCGAACGTTTAAAACGTCCATATGATCAAGATTACTTCACAAATGAGACATGGTAATATACGGATAAACACAGCGGAAAAACTCAATGTTGCCCGGGATATAATTTCATACCGAGAATAAAATAAATGAAACAATTTAAATAAGAATGATTCAAAGTATACCATTAAGATTAAGAAATAGGTTCACAGAGAGAAATGAAGCTCCACAAATAGCTAAACGCCGAACGTTTGAAACGTCCATATGATCAAAATTACTTCACAAATGAGACATGGTAATATACGGATAAACACAGCGGAAAAACTCAATGTTGCCCGGGGTATAATTTCATACCGAGAATAAAATAAATGAAATGATCTAAATAAGAATGATTCAAAGTATACCATCAAGATTAAGAAATAGGTTCACAGAGAGAAATGAAGCTCCACAAATAGATAAACGGAAAACACCAACACAGTTAAGTCCAAGTAACGGCAAAATGCATGTGAAATTCAGCTTTGACGTTTCAACGTATATACGAATATTCATTGCCTGGTTATGACAGCTTATGTACACGGATCGAAATATAGGTAAACACTAAGCTATCCAAAAAATATTTAATATTTGTGAGCCGTGTACATGTTTCTGTTCATTTATCATACGTAATACTCTGGAGACAGGAATCCTTACAAAGTCCTTGTTTTGTGATGAATTAGTAGATATCAGAATCCAGAAAAATCAGTCACATATATACCATTTCTTCAAGCGATGATAATGATAGAAGGGAGTGTTAACTCTCCAAATACACGCATAAAAACTTATTTTAGATTGCTTATGGACTTTAAATTTATGTCGTAACGTCATTGTCTAACATATGACACCACAACGATTTCAGACGGCGTATTAAATGACAAACGCCCCAGGGTACTTTACAGTAGTGATACGGATAATTCTCTCCATACATGTAAAATGTTACATTTCCGTCCCGTATTTTGTCCCAGCCTTCTACCTAATTAGCTATTTGAAAATCTTAGGATATTTTCTGTTAATAAAGTTCATATATACATTCAGTATTATACATAATATACAGTCTATGAAATAATTTAGTATCTAAAGATATTTTTCACCCAATTCAATCGTGACGGTAAAAATTATAACTGGTTTTCCTGTGTGACAGTAATGTCACAGCTTGAAATGCAGACGAATACTGTCAATAACTACTCATACAGAAAAAATAACACTGATTGTGTTTTCACATCTCCATTTAATTCAACAACAAACATCAGTCTCGCGATTATCCGTTCCATACCGTCACAGCCTGAATTTCGTCACTCGTGATCAAAGCGTGATTAAGGTCATTTAAGTTCTGGCGCCACACAAACTATTGATGACGTAAATGACCCCGTTCCATTTTCGACATGCCATGGCCGATGAGAAATAGACCACCTCAAAGTAAGTAATAGTTTGCCCGATTGTACCTTTAATAGCTCTCCGTACCGTTCACATTCCTACTTAAAGTACAGCTGAGAATCTTTCAGTCAGAAAATTGCAAACTTTTGATTATTTTGAAGAGATGATTTTAAGTATTTTCGATTGTCACACACGTCACGGATTTAAAGATTATTGCTTGTTAATTTTAAATGATTCCGTACCGTCACGTTCTTGTATAATTTGCCGTGACGGTACAGACCATGACGTGACGGTACGGAATTTTGTACGTTGAAAATTTAAAAATATTGAAAAAAAAATAAAAAATAAACTTAAAAGCTTAACAGCAGCATTCAATATGCTTTCAGACATTGACCAAATGGAAAACAAGGCACTGGAATACAAATTACTTCAAACTGAGAAAGATATTATAGAAGCAGAAAAGGATTTAGACAGACAAAAGTATACAGTCGCGTACCATCTTGTTGATTTTTTGGGAACCAATCATTACAGAACGTTGGTGGAAATATACTGATTTATCTGCAAAACTCGATAAAAAAATCTGCTGAATAAGGAGTACCAGCTATATATAAATGGGAATGAACGCAGCAGAAAGGGCGCGGAAATACAGACAGAATATAAAGAATGATTCAGTTCGATACGCCGAGTATCTCGCAGAAGAAAAAGAAAGACACACACACACACACACAAAAGAAAAAGCAAAGGCGAAAGACCTAGAATAAAATCTCTACCAGAACGTGAGCAGAGGAAGCTACGCCGAAAAAGGCGAAAAGAGAAACGAGAAAGGAATGAAAAGAAAAAAAGGAATTATCAGCAGTGATGTTTCTCCACCGTCGTCTCCGGGACCGTCACAAGGTAATGAGAGTGATAGAAAGAGTCGTGGACGGAAGAAAGTAAAAACAGACAGATTAAAAATGTAAAGAAGAAATAAGCAGCTGAAGGTCGAAATTTTAAAAGCACAAAGAGATAAATTAAAATTCAAGAGATGGCAGAGATTGAAAAAGAAAATGGATCCAAACATGAGGAAAGGAAACAGAAACGACTACGAAAATACCGATATGGAGAATACAACCGAGACTAAATGTCCTCGCCCAGCATTTAAGCAACAACTCCAGGGTGTCAGTATTCCCAGTGATGTTAAGAAGAAGCTGTTATTCAACAGTGCCGTAGTTACAGAATTGCGTCAGAAGATGCAGCGGCAGAAGACAGGAAAGGGAAAACAACTTGTATCGAAAGTTATTTCCGGTTCCATACTGAAAAAATACAGGCTGTTGATCATCAACAGAGGAACACGAAATTGGTTTGAATTTGTTTTCAATACCAGAAATATACCTTGCTTTCTTTTGTAATAAGATCGTGATGGTATGGAACTGCACTTGACCTTCAGCAGTGTTTCAAAGGACTCAGCATCGACCTTGATAGTTTGTGTGCGTGGTCAACTATTGTAATTCATAACTGAATTATAGTTACATACATAGGATCCAAAATCTAAATGTTTTGAACCAATGGACAACTGAAATTTTCTGGTAGCAAACTGTACGACCTCTTGGGGGAATAGGCCGTATCGACTGCGCATGGCCCTGGGTATGAGATTCCCGGATGTTCTGCTGCGGCGCCATTAAAATGACAGTCAAGTAAAACCTGACTCTCCTTGTCTTGTAGGTAAGTATTAGAGAATGTTGTTTGAATGTGATTGCATGTGACTAAATGGTGTGGTAAGTAACCAGGATCATAATTGCTAAGGGCAAGTGTTCAGGAAATCCAACATTTGAGTAAGTTTACGAATAATTGAAGCGAGGTGTTTGATCGCCTCACCACTTAGTTCGCACCATGTTCGCGGGTTAGTCAATCTTAACGATAGTTGTCAAAAGTTGTTGGAATTCCATTGTAATATGTTCGTATATTCCCCATTTCGAAAAAAATGGCTAACAAACAAAGCCATTACCTCCATTGGCCGAAGCAAACAAGAGTGTATAGTGAGGAATGCTTTAGTTTCTGTATGGTAGCCGAGACAAACAAGAATGTAGTTAGGAATGCTATAGTTCTGTGTGGTAGCCGAGACAAACAAGAATGTAGTTAGGAATGCTTTAGTTTCTGTGTGGTAGCCGAGACAAACAAGAATGTAGTGAGGAATGCTTTAGTTTCTGTATGGTAGCCGAGACAAACAAGAATGTAGTTAGGAATGCTTTAGTTTCTGTCTGGTAGCCGAGAAAAACAAGAATGTAGTTAGGAATGCTATAGTTCTGTGTGGTAGCCGAGACAAACAAGAATGTAGTTAGGAATGCTTTAGTTTGTGTCTGGTAGCCGAGACAAACAAGAGTGTAGTGAGGAATGTTTTAGTTTCTGTCTCGTAGCTGAGACATACCAGCGCCTTTTGTAAGGAAAGTTACTAGTGCTATCTGAATATTCAGCATTATGGTAGTTTATGACTAATTAGTACAGAGCCCGCTTACTGACATACTTTATACTTATTTTACTTCGTTTTTTCAAATTTTTTTTCTTAACTGCTCCAATAATGAGTAAATTGTTGAAGTCTATTTTCAATGTTTTGTGTATGATAATGAAAAAAATTAGATTAGATAAAAAAAAAAAAAAAAATTGGGGGGGATTTTGGATCTACGGAGTCCCTGCTTACTGACCGGAATATTTTGGTTGTGACATCAGGATCAATCTATAATGGATCAATGCTATAATGGATCAATCTATCACATTCCACATTGAATTTCCAATTAATAGTACCAAGATGTGAATGCATTGCTGTGTTTTAAGACAGTTGAGGTGTTTTGTTATTTCTGAGTATCTGAATATTTCGAAAATTCCAATCATAGAAATAGTTTAAACTGGTTTGTATTTCTTACATATCGATATACAATTCTGTTTCAAATTAACGATGTTCCGTTAAACAAACCTCATACAACGCAACATTGAGAGTTGCGTCAACCAAAATAATCTATTACATACCTACATGCTGACGTGTCTGCATGGTCTTGAAATCCTCAGTATAAATCGAAGTACATTAACGCCAGAAAACAAAAGTAAATGGAAAAAAAACAATTCTTTACTTATTTACTCACATAAACAAATATTTCTCATGTTAAATGGAATTGCAACATCACTAAGCTTAAAAACATACATCAATCATATCTGCATTTGTGACACTCAACACCTGTCGCATTTTAACAATAAGTGATATTTATTTTTTTGCTCTTATTCTAAATGGTTGTTTGCAATAGATCTAGTTATCGCTAGTCGAAGACAAAATCACAAGAAAAAGAAAAATTGAATTTAAATTAATATGAAAAATCATAGACGTTTCCTGACTTCCTAAAATAAATCATCTCAAGCTTTACGCTTGTGTCAAATCGTACAAAACAGAGATCCATCCTAACACACTTCTTATCTAGTAATTGATGAGTATCGTAAGGTTTGACATGCGTACTGATATTGGCTGACATTAATCATGTATAATATATAGATATGATATACTATGTAAATCATAAAGAAACCCTGATCTCCGATATCAAGAATTTGGGATGTAAAAAACCGAATGAATCTTTATGAGAAATAAATTATGCTAAAATCAATCTCAGATGAGCATTTACGGTGCGTACTCAAGACTGATGGGCTGGTTCTTTGGCGTTAACAATGTACATAAATGTCTTAATCCCATCGGAATTATGTAATAAATATATTAGCATGTTTAAGATCAATATTCAACATCAAGAATTACACAAGTAACTATTTTTTTCAGTTTATTAATATTTGTTATTACATGGTGATGATCTGATATTGACACTGAGATCATTCTTTTGAGACATGAACACAAATGCTTCTTCTTTAGAAATGTATTGACAGTAAAGAATTTTTGACACCTATATACATCTGCTGTTGTTTATATCACCGGTAGGTCTACATCCCTAAACGTCTTCCGTCCATTCATAACCATTCTGCATGGTTATAGAAATGCCCTTCTCTGTTTCCAAATAATCGCACAGCTCCTCTCTAGTTTCCAATATGTTCACATAAAAAGGACTTCCATTCACGTGATGACCTGACCACCGGACACTAACGTCATACTGACCAGGCTCGGATGGGTCATATCGACACAGGATAGTGCGGTCATTTTGTCGTTCACGCTCCATATCCACCTTAAATGCTCCTGTGATGAAATAGATTGAAAAGCCACAATAACCATGTGTTACTTTTGTAAATCACCCGTGTGCATGTAGAAAAATATTTCCAAATATCAATTTAATTGCACCTAGATATGAATTTCGTTAATGGTACAAAATAAAATATGGGAGCGAAATTTTGCATAAGGTTAGTATCTTCAGCACTCGTTACTGATACAAACAGACAAAAGAATGGACGTATAGAAGTAAAGCCAAGGCATATATTTGATGTCACTCTGTCCATACGGAGTTAAATAGATTATATTTATATCAGTATCCCCCACCATATATATTACCTCTAGGGCCCCTGATCCGCACCGAAAGTTGTCCTGCGCCAGCCCCGTATGTTTCCACAAGGAATTTGCTCTCGAATGATTGAATCAAGCCGTCTTGTATACCTGGGCCATAGACACGGACTTTCCGAGGGTCAGGAGGCTCTCCAACCGGAATGGTGAACGGACTCCCTGCGATAATTACCAACGTGTGAAATCAGCAACGGATATTCTTGTTTCATTATGTACTTGGTCATGATATCAGTCAAACAAGACATTAAAGGTTTCAGTTTAACGGACGACAATTATCAAACTTGACCTGTAACAGTAGTTTAGATCGTTTACCGATTTATATTCGGATATATGGTTTGAAAACTGTAGGCGCAATCATAACTTTGCTTTACCTGGAGCATGCTCTCCATCAAATTTCACTGAAAGACTGTGTCTGCAGGCTTCTGTTGGGAAAAGTCGCAAGGTATAGATACCATTCTGCTGGTCCAAGATGTCACAGCGTGTTGGCTGCAACAATCCGTTCATATCCGCAACTACTTCACCTACGTAAAGGTAATAAGTTTTTGTTATGCATGGACTATGTAAGGATGATGGATTACACGTATTGATCACGAAACAGATGGAAAAGGAGGCAAAGTTATAGCAATACTTCCTGAGAAGAATATTCTGTAAGGTTGATAGAGCTACAGGTAAACGTTTCGAAGTTAAGAACCTTCTCCATAAATCCAAACCCAAGTACTGTTTTTTTCATATGGAATTATCAATTATATATACAGCATATGGTAATGGTGATCATCAAGGATTATCATTCTCGACTCCTGTGAACTATAATGTAACAAAATAAAATATTTCAACACATTTAATCCATGGCCATGGTCGCACATACGAATGAAGTCTGCCTTAAGAGTAATTCACGTAAGAAATGAGCAATTCCCAATTCCTAGATTGACAGTTATTATTATGGCTGGTGTCGTCGACTAAGTGGAAAACGCAGACTCTTTTGCAACACCTAGTCTTATTTTCCTAGTACATTTATCTCCGTATACCACTATCGTTCATCCTTAATCTGTGATCATTTCATCGATTTTAAATTTGTATCAACTTTTGCTGACAAGCCTGTATTTTTTTATTATTATTTTCAAATATATGCGTTGATCTCAGTAAAGATCCGATAAAATGTCTTCCTTACCATATCCAGCAGCTGTTGTATCTACTATAACCCGCAGTTCCTGACCAACAAATCCACCCTTGAGTCCACGACCTAGGACTTTGACCTTACCCTCGGCACCCCTGTGGGACACAGATATCTTGTAAGGCACATCAAACAGTTTCGTTCCGGACCAGTAGATGTACATCAAGTAAGCTCCTGGGGACGGGGCAGTGTAGTGACATTGATAGCGGTCATACTTCAGTGCTTTCATGTCCACTATAGGTCTGGATTTAAGCCCCTGTAGTTCAACCCGTGGCACACCTGTTTCGACATATGTAAAGTTATCTTTGACAACAAACCCAGCAACATTGCTTGATTGATAACAGTAATATCGAATGTAATCTGATTTAATTTGCACAGACAGCTCGAAATCTGATTTTCGTCCTTTAAAATCAACTATATCTGTCCGTCATATCAAATATAAAACATGCACTTAATTCACGTGAACCGTAACATGTAACGGATGACATGATGTAGCCGAGTAGAAGTTAAATACACATATCTGTATGATTGAGCAAAAGACACACAAACGTACACCATCCCTAAATAAAAAACTTGGAATAAGATACAGTAGCGCCAGACAATCAATCACACTACATCATGCAGCTATTTCATCCATTCAGGATTGGTCAGTGACGCCCAAAGTCCAAAAGTTATGGGATATTGTATCGCTCATCCTAAATCCTATTTCATAAAACTTACTTCAATTGCAGTTTTACTAGATAATAACAAAACAATCGCGCATCGTTACCTCAAATCATGAATTAAAAACATAATAAATTGAAATGAAAGTAATGATCATACCTGGACCAGCAAGCTTTCCATCTATTCTAAACTCCATCCGAACTCCAGCACGAGCTTCCTTGATTCCTTTTCCTGTAACCTTGACCTTAGTGTGGTCAATGGGAAGTATGGGTCCCGGACAATACGAGAGAATTGGAGATGAGTCCAAGGGAACGTTTGACCAGTAAAGGTGAATGTAGTGATCACCTGAAGAACACATGGAGTTTGACAGATTTTTTACAATGAGGACGTTGCTATGAACGTACTAACGAAACTGTAACTCGAACTTATAATCTACTACTTATAATCTACTACACTGTGTAGGGAAACTATGAACCAGCAAAAACAGAACTACCGAAACGTTATAATTACTGAGTGAGGATGGGGTTGAAATTATCTACACGTGGCTATATCAAAATGCACAGAAATCAACGATGCTTGGCGTATTGAAAAAATATGCATGAAATGGTGTGATACCTAATCGTTCCCAAACTATCAGTTAACGGAATGTCACAGTGTACAAAAAGCCGTCACACTTTCCATGTAAACTATCGTCACCAGAACATTGCTGGTAAACATAGCAAACATCCAGGGCCGTATTATTCTCTTTCTTGTTTAAAAAAAGATGAATGCTTCCAATTTCCATGTGAACCTGCCAGTTATTTGTTTTATCAAGATTTCCATGTTATTGTGAACCAGTTGGTATTTCCAAATCAACGATAGTCATAGTCGTTAATAAGATATATCTTAGATAATAGTGTTCCTACCACGTGTTTAAAAAAGCTTGTAAAATAAATGTTTGTTTACTACACTAATACTTTTAAAAGTTGATTACAACCAATCTTACAGCTGTGTGGCTACCAAACGTTACACGATGTGAGCACGATAGGTAAACTGGACGGAATAAGCTATCGTACATTTGATAATCTCGCACAGTGATTCTACTGTGGTCAATATATATTTAGGAATTACTTATAGATAAATGTGTGACAGGTTTCTTTATTTCATTAATATATATGTGAGAACAGCTAAGAAAACTGATTGAATAGTTATATACACTCGTAATTTAAAGTGTTTTGATAATAAAGTGTCAAACGATGTGCGTTGTGACTTACAACAGCTGTACCATACTGGCAAACCCTGGTCGGATCACCACACGCACACTTACCTTCCTCTTTTGCTTTGAAGCTAACCGCTACTTCGTCCGTATCTGGCTGATCCAGCGTCACAGGTAACTTGCCACTAGGAGCCAGCACCTCGGCATTGAATGATCCTGACCAGGTATAACAATGACATATTAACACGCATAAAGAAACATTAAGTTAAATGTCGGAAAAATATATAAATCAAATACAGGTAATTTCAGGTAGAATAAGCAGACATTCTCGACTAGATGTTTTTGCTATGAAACGTAATTTCGCCATTCAACAGAATTGCAAATGACAGTGAACAGATTCGATAAAACAGAGTTTTCAGTTAAAAATAGGATGTCTGGCTTGTGAAGACAACCAAATACTGAATCCTTTTTCAGCTTCTGCAGAATATCACTGAGATATGCGAGTTGATATCTAGAATGAAAAACAATCTCGACATCAGTTTTTTATTAAGAGGAAGATTTTTTTAATATTAGGAAAGAAAGATTCAGAACACGTCATGGTTTCCCCTAATACTGGATTGCCACAAAACTGATTTCCCCTAATACTGGATTGCCACAACACTGATTTCCCCTAATACTGGATTGCCACAAAACTGATTTCCCCTAATACTGGATTGCCACAACACTGATTTCCCCTAATATTGGATTGCCACAACACTGATTTCCCCCTAATACTGGATTGCCACAAACTGATTTCCCCTAATACTGGATTTCCACAAAACTGATTTCTCCTAATACTGGAAAGCCACAACACTGATTTCCCCTAATACTGGATTGCCACAAAACTAGCTAATTGCAAATAAATTAGAATAAGGTTTTGCTATTGCTCCGCTCAATATCAAGTCAATTTCCCCCAAGTATATGTCAAAGACGGCATATATATTATTTAAAGGCACAATAATGCATCTTTCATCAGAGCCACGACTTGAAGCCGGAAAATGTAAGTTTCGCTTTCTGTTGCACCCTGGCATTGTTTTCCATCACTGTTTCGGATCATATTGACCAGCTTTTTTGTGCTTTTGTAAACGTACCTGGACCAGCTTCACTGATGTCAAAGTGTAGGACAGTATCAGTCCCGCAAACCAACGCTAAGTAGTCATTCTCATCTTTATCACCACTCAAATCATCCTTCAGTCTCACCTTTGACCTATCTGTAATTTTGGCCTTAAATGGACTTCCTGCAGCAATAGAATTAACAAAAGTTGTAATCAATACGAACAAGTGAATAACACCTTACATATGTAGAATCACATAGATACATGATGCATGGTACAATTATTTCGTTCTTTTAAGACATGAAAGTTTCAGGAGAAAGACCATTGACCTGTGGACAATACCTGGCGACTGCCCCAAATAGGTCTCGGACCCGCGACCCAGAGGTGACCATTGCGTCTACTACAGATGTTAAGGGCTTAATTTACAAAAAACTCGGGACGACTGAGGAAAAATAAAATTTTGAGATAAGGCTAAACACCAGATTTGGAGATTCCCTAACCTCAAATGCCAATATCTTTCATAATTTTCGATAACGAATCATTTGATCGTCAATTTCGTGTGTACTTTCTAAACCCTACTATTTTTCAGATGATTCTAAACGTGGCATGCAGAGTATCTGCCGTAGATTATACTACATACAACTTTTAAGAATCTACAGTAATGTTTTAAGTCGGAAGTGACGAAATAACACGAGACACTAGCAAATTAAATATACGCCGAAACCAATGTAGAAGCAGTATTAAAGGAATTTTGGTATGCTCTGTGAAAAAATAGCAAGAAATGACAACCTGTCGATGTAATCATAATTCAAAATTGGATTCAATTAAACAAGGACATTATATGAACATCATATAATATAACTGTATAAATGTGTTTTGAAAAAAATATTTCTTCGTTTTACAATCGAAAAATTAATCAACATCATTTTTTAATGTAAGCAATTACTATTCTAGGTATTAAGAATATATTTACTGGAAACTCACTCCTGTATGTCAAAACTGTGAAATGATGTACACCATAGCACGATAGAATAGACCATTGTTTTATTGAAGTACTTACCAGGGACACACATGTCATTCCAAATTACTGTTATGGTATAGACTCCCGTCTGTAGAGGTGTATACGTAAACTGATGTGCCGTAGATCCAACTTCTTCCCATCGTGTGTTCACCTCGATATCTCCCACTGAAATGTCAACACAGCTATATACGTTGTCTTGGAGATAGCTCATACGACATCAAATGTCTTACATGAGCTCCATATGCATTGGGAACAAAGTTGGGAGAAAAAAAACAAGAAAATACAAAAATATCATACTACAAACTCAATTCCATAAAACTAGGGCAAATATAAACAAAAGATTACATGCATTCTCCTAAAATGTACAAGGAGAATAAAACCATTTGTTCCGGAAGAGTAAGCGTCCCCTGTTTCATTGATGACATCAGCCATGTAAATATATGTCAATCCACGTGAATATTATCACTTTCCTTATTGAGAGCAAGGTATACAACAACGGAACCAATAGGCAAACTAACGGGGATTTTTTAAATAAGAAATTGGCGACAAAATTCACTGAAACGGAACGCAATTTCGGGAGTGTGTGATAAGATAAATTTTTGAAGAAGAATGATTGAAACAAAGATTACTTACCTTTAACGATGACTACTATGTTTCCTCCAAGATCGCCAGTGTTCACGATAAATCTGGACTCCTTCCCACACAGGCCACGCACGATTCCTTCACCGGTCACCGTAATCTGACCAGGGTCCACCACATCCACCAACTTTGGACATCCTGTATGTTAATTAATCAAATTTCGTCCTCAACATGGCATTCTAGAAATAAATTTTCCGAAAATGGATTCGATTTTTATATAGAGGATATTTATTAGTGCATTAAGTAAGAATATATCTCATAAGTAATATTTTGATATCTTTCCCGAGTGCGCAGCACGAGCGAACGACGCAGAAAATGTGACATACGAGTGAAATATATTTGTTATTACTGAAGACACTATTAAACCATTCATCACAAACAAGATAGCCAAATTACTGGCATATTTAGAACAGATATACAATTAGGAAGCTGACTAGGCTTTTTTAGGACACTACTCACTCATTAGAAATTCACAGTATGCAACAAAATATAGTCCTTTTCTTTTAATATTAGAAATATGCTAACACAGAAATAGATTTCATTGTAAATTTATTTTCGTAATTACATAGAAAATTTTACATCTTTATGTCAGTAAGAGACGTTTAAAGACAGTTAAACATGTGCCAAGTTACTACGCGGCTGTAAATATAGCAACAACCTTCAATTGTCACTGTTGATGACACGAACATCCTTGCAATGTCTTACATGTTAGCTCCACATTCAAGGCGTTCGGTTACGTATTGATCTGTAATACTTTGTGTTGCATTGGTTGCCAACTTCCATGGAGATGAACGTTTATCATGGGATTTGTCAGTTTTATCAGATGATTTGTGTTCTCTCTTTTCATGGCATACCACTTTATCAATGAAATATTTCTTTATATTATTCTCGCAAAAATGCAATAACTACTTACTTAAATCTTACTTCTGATGGACAACAATTTCGAAAGATACGGTGTGTGCAAAAAACTCTTGCAGATACGAAAAGTATGTAGCGTATGTTTTTATATCATGGTCATAACGACGTTGAGAAGCTTCTGAGTGTTTACAACTCTTGATTGACAGAAACAGTATATGATGATTCCAACGCGAAAGGAGGTTTGATGACAGTAAATACTGTTTTGTTGTTCAATAATGTCCTTATTTCGAAGAGTATACATTTTGAGGTTTTAGTGCCGTTTTGATTCCAATAGTTTTGACATGTCTTTCATGTTTGCTGCCTATGTTAAAAGATATGTAATATTGATCGGAAACAGCTATATACATGTAAACAGATAAAGGCACAAACACACCTGAATTGATGATAGGAATATATCAATATAGATTCATCAGTATTACCTGTAATAATAGTGCCATTGAAAGCAGCCTTCAGAAAAAAGGATCCTGGACATGTCGGGACGAACGAAATGGACCAATTTCCGTCGTCCTGCTTGGACACGTGACAAGGAGTTGATTTACCAATATGTGTTACCTCCGCTGTAACGTTACCTGTTCCGGCTTTGGTTACATCAACTTTACAGAACGATTACATCAATATTAAGTGAAATGATTTATGTGAAAGTCTTGAAACAATTAAACAAAATATATTCATATCTATTCACATGCAAAATATGCAAAACATATTGATATTACGTCTGAAAAATGCATATACCAACTTCGTTTCTATATTGTTTCTACCATTCAGAGATATCATGGTCGACAGGTACCGATCCAACCACACTATAAAACAAAGTTATCCAACAAGCAGTAACTAATAATACATGCTGACCGCCATTTCACTCACCATGGCATGCCACTACTTCGTCAACCACACCCCTTCCTTGCACAGAAAACCAGGCTTTTTGGGGATCAAATGTATCAAAGTTAACCGGTGAGTTTGGAATTTCCTCTCCGTCCATATAGGCTCGAACAACCCACATACCTAAAATGAATTTATAGACATATTTCAAACTTGTCTCGATTTGGGGCGTATAAGGATATTTTTAAACTTCGCAAAATGTCAAACTTCATTGATGACATTTCTGTATATACTTTTCATAAGACTAACAAACCTTTCTCAGATGACATTTCTGTACGATAAGACTAACAAACCTTTATCCTCTCTCAGATGACATTTCTGTACGATAAGACTAACAAACCTTTCTCAGATGACATTTCTGTACGATAAGACTAACAAACCTTTATCCAAACCTCAGATGACATTTCTGTACGATAAGACTAACAAACCTTTATCCTCTCTCAGATGACATTTCTGTACGGTAAGACTAACAAACCTTTCTTTCTCAGATGACATTTCTGTACGATAAGACTAACAAACCTTTATCTCTCAGATTCTCAGATGACATTTCTGTACATTAAAGACTAACAAACCTTCTCTCAGATGACATTTCTGTACGATAAGACTAACAAACCTTTATCCTCTCTCAGATGACATTTCTGTACGATAAGACTAACAAACCTTTATCCTCTCTCAGATGACATTTCTGTACGATAAGACTAACAAACCTTTATCCTCTCTCAGATGACATTTCTGTACGATAAGACTAACAAACCTTTATCCTCTCTCAGATGACATTTCTGTACGATAAGACTAACAAACCTTTCTCAGATGACATTTCTGTACGATAAGACTAACAAACCTCTCTCAGATGACATTTCTGTACGATAAGACTAACAAACCTTTATCCTCTCTCAGATGACATTTCTGTACGATAAGACTAACAAACCTTTCTCAGATGACATTTCTGTACGATAAGACTAACAAACCTTTCTCAGATGACATTTCTGTACGATAATACTAACAAACCTTTATCCTCTCTCAGATGACATTTCTGTACGATAAGACTAACAAACCTTTCTCAGATGACATTTCTGTACGATAAGACTAACACTCTCTCAGATGACATTTCTGTACGATAAGACTAACAAACCTTTATCCTCTCTCAGATGACATTTCTGTACGATAAGACTAACAAACCTTTCTCAGATGACATTTCTGTACGATAAGACTAACAAACCTTTATCCTCTCTCAGATGACATTTCTGTACGATAAGACTAACAAACCTCTCTCAGATGACATTTCTGTACGATAAGACTAACAAACCTCTCTCAGATGACATTTCTGTACGATAAGACTAACAAACCTCTCTCAGATGACATTTCTGTACGATAAGATAACAAACCTTTCTCTCTCAGATGACATTTCTGTACGATAGGACTAACAAACCTTTATCCTTTCTCAGATGACATTTCTGTACGATAATACTAACAAACCTTTATCCTCTCTCAGATGACATTTCTGTACGATAAGACTAACAAACCTTTCTCAGATGACATTTCTGTACGATAAGACTAACAAACCTTTATCCTCTCTCAGATGACATTTCTGTACGATAGGACTAACAAACCTTTATCCTCTCTCAGATGACATTTCTGTACGATAAGACTAACAAACCTTTCTCAGATGACATTTCTGTACGATAAGACTAACAAACCTCTCTCAGATGACATTTCTGTACGATAAGACTAACAAACCTCTCTCAGATGACATTTCTGTACGATAAGACTAACAAACCTTTCTCAGATGACATTTCTGTACGATAAGACTAACAAACCTTTCTCAGATGACATTTCTGTACGATAAGACTAACAAACCTTTCTCAGATGACATTTCTGTACGATAAGACTAACAAACCTTTCTCAGATGACATTTCTGTACGATAAGACTAACAAACCTTTATCCTCTCTCAGATGACATTTCTGTACGATAAGACTAACAAACCTTTATCCTCTCTCAGATGACATTTCTGTACGATAAGACTAACAAACCTTTATCCTCTCTCAGATGACATTTCTGTACGATAAGACTAACAAACCTTTCTCAGATGACATTTCTGTACGATAAGACTAACAAACCTCTCTCAGATGACATTTCTGTACGATAAGACTAACAAACCTTTCTCAGATGACATTTCTGTACGATAAGACTAACAAACCTTTATCCTCTCTCAGATGACATTTCTGTACGATAAGACTAACAAACCTTTATCCTCTCTCAGATGACATTTCTGTACGATAGGACTAACAAACCTTTATCCTCTCTCAGATGACATTTCTGTACGATAAGACTAACAAACCTTTATCCTCTCTCAGATGACATTTCTGTACGATAAGACTAACAAACCTTTCTCAGATGACATTTCTGTACGATAAGACTAACAAACCTTTCTCAGATGACATTTCTGTACGATAAGACTAACAAACCTTTATCCTCTCTCAGAAACCTGACATTTCTGTACGATAAGACTAACAAACCTTTATCTCTCTCTCAGATTTTCTGTACGATAAGACTAACAAACCTTTCTCAGATGACATTTCTGTACGATAAGACTAACAAACCTTTCTCAGATGACATTTCTGTACGATAAGACTAACAAACCTCTCTCAGATGACATTTCTGTACGATAAGACTAACAAACCTTTATCCTCTCTCAGATGACATTTCTGTACGATAAGACTAACAAACCTTTATGACATTTCCTCCTCTCAGATGACATTTCTGTACGATAAGACTAACAAACCTTTCTCAGATGACAATGTCTGTACGATAAGACTAACAAACCTTTAACCTCTCTCAGATGACATTTCTGTACGATAAGACTAACAAACCTTTATCCTCTCTCAACATTTCTGTAAACCTTTCTGATGACATTTCTGTACGATAAGACTAACAAACCTTTATCCTCTCTCAGATGACATTTCTGTACGATAAGACTAACAAACCTTTATCCTCTCTCAGATGACATTTCTGTACGATAAGACTAACAAACCTTTATCCTCTCTCAGATGACATTTCTGTACGATAAGACTAACAAACCTTTCTCCACTCTCAGATGACATTTCTGTACGATAAGACTAACAAACCTTTCTCAGATTTCTGACATTCTCTGACATTTCTGTACGATAAGACTAACAAACCTCTCTCAGATGACATTTCTGTACGATAAGACTAACAAACCTTTATCCTCTCTCAGATGACATTTCTGTACGATAAGACTAACAAACCTTTATCCTCTCTCAGATGACATTTCTGTACGATAAGACTAACAAACCTTTATCCTCTCTCAGATGACATTTCTGTACGATAGGACTAACAAACCTTTATCCTCTCTCAGATGACATTTCTGTACGATAAGACTAACAAACCTCTCTCAGATGACATTTCTGTACGATAAGACTAACAAACCTTTCTCAGATGACATTTCTGTACGATAGGACTAACAAACCTTTATCCTCTCTCAGATGACATTTCTGTACGATAAGACTAACAAACCTTTCTCAGATGACATTTCTGTTTCTGTACGATAAGACTAACAAACCTTTCTCAGATGACATTTCTGTACGATAAGACTAACAAACCTTTATCCTCTCTCAGATGACATTTCTGTACGATAAGACTAACAAACCTTTCTCAGATGACATTTCTGTACGATAAGACTAACAAACCTTTCTCAGATGACATTTCTGTACGATAAGACTAACAAACCTCTCTCAGATGACATTTCTGTACGATAGGACTAACAAACCTTTATCCTCTCTCAGATCACATTTCTGTACGATAGGACTAACAAACCTTTATCCTCTCTCCGATCACATTTCTGTACGATAAGACTAACAAACCTTTATCCTCTCTCAGATGACATTTCTGTACGATAAGACTAACAAACCTTTATCCTCTCTCAGATGACATTTCTGTACGATAAGACTAACAAACCTTTCTCAGATGACATTTCTGTACGATAAGACTAACAAACCTCTCTCAGATGACATTTCTGTACGATAAGACTAACAAACCTATCTCAGATGACATTTCTGTACGACAAGACTAACAAACCTTTCTCAGATGACATTTCTGTACGATAAGACTAACAAACCTTTCTCAGATGACATTTCTGTACGATAATACTAACTGTACGATAAGACTAACAAACCTTTCTCAGATGACATTTCTGTACGATAAGACTAACAAACCTCTCTCAGATCACATTTCTGTACGATAAGACTAACAAACCTTTCTCAGATGACATTTCTGTACGATAAGACTAACAAACCTTTCTCAGATGACATTTCTGTACGATAAGACTAACAAACCTTTCAGATGACTCTGTACGATAAGATAACATTTCATTTCTGTACGATAAGACTAACAAACCTTTCTCTCTCAGATGACATTTCTGTACGATAACGACTAACAAACCTTTATCTCTCTCAGATGACATTTCTGTACGATAAGACTAACAAACCTCTCTGACATTTCTGTACGATAAGACTAACACCTTTTGACATTTCTGTACGATAAGACTAACAAACCTTTAATCATATGACATTTCTATAATCTGATACATTTCTGTACGATAAGACTAACAAACCTTTACTTTCTGTACGATAAGACTAACAAACCTTTCCTCTCTCTATAATCTCTTTAGTACCCTGTACCTGGTACACGATACATACAGCTTTCCGTATCTGCTATAATCTCTTTAGTACCCTGTACCTGGTACACGATACATACAGCTTCCTGTATCTGCTATAATCTGTTTAGTACCCTGTACCTGGTACACGATACATACAGCTTTCTGTATCTGCTATAATCTATTTAGTACCCTGTACCTGGTACACGATACATACAGCTTTCTGTATCTGCTATAATCTATTTAGTACCCTGTACCTGGTACACGATACACACAGCTTCCCGTATCTGCTATAATCTGTTTAGTACCCTGTACCTGGTACACGATACACACAGCTTCCCGTATCTGCTATAATCTGATACTCGCCAGCCTCCCGTGGTGTAAATTTACAGTTTGCATGTTGTTTCCGCCACTGAATATCTGCATCTATCCGGCTCCGTGGACCCTTTACCTCGGCCTTGACCTTTTCAGTCTTAACCCCGCGGTCCATAACGTCAATACTGAATGATGCCTGCATAAACAATACATAACACTGCACAAACCGGAAATGAAGCAACAGTGACACCGCGCGGTGTTGTTGTGCTTTGGCACAGTTTTTATTAAACAGGAGATCGCTCTTATTGTACAATAAGTCAGTTCCCATGCCATGTAACAATTTTTTGTTAGGTTACATGACTAAGCAGCATATGAGTTTTGTTTTCCAGGCTGTTTTGTGCTTCAGTTTATGAGTTGTATATTTCAGCTTGTGAATTTGGTGTTTCAGTCTGTAAGATTAATATTTCGGTGTTTCAGATTGTGAGTTTTGTGTTTCAGAACTAATAAGAAAATCTTGTTTTGGGTTTAACTTCTCAATTCCCGGAAGGCCAGATCCTCCTTGTATTCATGACTGAGTTTCCTTGACTCAAATATGTCCTAGATCAACAAAGCCACAGTATTCATAACATCAAACCTCTATTTCCTCTGTTGGGCCACCATTGCGCTGCCCAAAAGGAAGTAGAAGATCCATTTATACAAATTTGACTTAACATGCCCAGTACCAAATTTAATGAAACTATTTTAGTAAAAAAACAGCCATTGTGAACAAATGAAGATTTTAAGGGAAAAAGTTGTCGGACGAATAACGCTGGCAGAGACGCCAAGCTAAAACCACAGTTCTTTTATCAAAAAAATAATTCTGAAACATTCAACTCACAATAAGCGACACGGACGAAACAGCTTTAAGATGCAGTTTAATTCACTTTTTGGTCTGCTGATTATAATTAATATTATATATCTTTATTGTGGGCGCTGTTTGCTGGTGTCTTGTACAAACATTGATGTTCATGTTAGACTTTATACAAACATTTATGTCAGACTTTATACAAACATTGATGTTAGACTTTATACAAACATTGATGGTAGACTTTATACAAACATTGACGTTATTCTTCTAGTCTCCAACATGTACATTCACGGAATCTGTATGCCATATTTATCTTACTTATGATAGTTTTTTTTTTATTCAATTAAATTTATTGAATTATGATATACACGCACCAACCTATTTGACTTTTGATGCTCATTTCGACCAATTAGCTGTTTCATTCAGTTGAGTCTAATTGTTAGTTGATTATTTTACAATTATTTTTTTTAAAGATTGGAGGTTTTAGCTGGGTGTCTCTGCCATCATTTGTCTTAGGCAAATGATAGAAATACAATATATGCCAATAGTCAAATATCTATTATTTTGCATGCCTTTAAACATCTTCATAATCTTCCCAACGATGATAGATATAACACTACCAAGCTATCTGTTACATTGTATACCGAAATCAAAATATGTCAGCCTACGGATGACTTTGACATACCTGTATCCCTGTCCTAATGTTGTTGAAACTGGCTGTGACCTTGACCTTGTCTTTGTCACTTTTTGACGGTGTCACCCGCTGAAACCTCGCGACATATGTCATCATTGTGAGATGATCAAGACTAGGATCAGACATCTCACTTGCTTTGAGTAGAGGCTCGACACCAAGTTCTTTACCGCCATCAAGAGCTAATGTGTGAACAAGATAGGAAAATATGGCGGTTTTTTAGTCTATGGCTGTAACGCAGATGCATCTTTACGCACTTAGTCATTATCTAAATATGTATTTCCAGGTATTATGTGTAAAAGCGTCATAGCTGTGCTGTTCACAGTCACATCTAGCAAGCAATTTTTTTTAAAAACTTTGAACAATACCAACATGTCAACATAAACATAATCCAAACTCGAATTCAACAAAAGTAGTGCAAAACATGAACCAAAGAAATATTCACATAGAGATTCCCGGAAAAGAACAGGAATAATAAGACCAGGTGTTCCGGAAGAGTAAGAGTAAAAGGTACAGTAACAAAAATGGGCCCACCATTATTTACGAAAGTATGTTAGTTGTATTGCCATTTTCTGAATTACATCTTTCAGACTTTTTGAAATCAAAACACTATTGAAAGCCTATTTATAATTTCAAAAATTCCCTTGTTCTTTAAATATCACTGACGGTTATTGATCACGAACGAGTCCTGTTATTGATCACGAACAAGTCTTGTTATTGATCACGAACGAGTCTTGTTGGTCACGAACGAGTCTTGCTATTAATTACGAACGAGGCTTAAGTAAAGTATTGTATTGATGTTTGTGATATGATGTATATCACAATAATGCTTACCTTTCTGCCAGTTACACTCGTGGTCGCTTAGGTCAAGGTCAGGCCAGCCTTCTATAGCTCCACCCAGTGAATGGACAATGGCACAAATATGGAAACCGTTATTCCAATCGGTCTATTTCATACATAATAACGAATGATTAATTTTTCAATGTATTGAATAAAAATCAATAACAAAATAGTTTGTTTTTTACAATGTCATTCAAGAAATGTGTGCACTTTTGGCATGAAATAAACTTTAATGGCTCCAAAAGTGAAATATATTAAAGGTTTTCAACGACTGATATTTTAAGATAGTGATTGATATAGATAATGATGATAATTGTCAATCCAGTAGTCTCTATCGCTCTCCGCACTCCTGGAACATTTCTTGACAAAATCGAAGGTTCAATGTGCGACACCTTGTGGACAAGGTGAAAAGACTTTTTGATACTTTGATGTACATCAAACGAATCTCGATGTTGCATTACGGTATGAAGTTGGGCGTCACTCCTGTGTAACCTGTCTGCTATTGGTCAGTTTCTTTTTTTCTCCTGAAAACCAATCTAGACCAATCAACCTTTCAATTTTTTCATGACATGTTCCAGGGGTGCAGAGAGCGATAATGAGAGTAACCCATGGAGTATCGAGGATGGATAATAATATTCTTTACAAACTGATACTATGATATTTGAGAATCTCTACTCTTTATACAGGGATAATACAACAATTTAAACCCTTTAAATAGGTAAATATTCTTTCAAAATACTGCAAATAGCTAATCATCTGTTTGTAAGATCAAAAATCATCCTCGAAGCTACGTCCTGCATTTTCAACAAATCATTTTATTGTTTTAAAATGAACATTATCGGTAATAAATGTTCAAAGTTCCGTGTGATGGGGACGGTGTGGATTTCTACTTCATGCATACCGTGAGGTTAGTGATGGTTGTTGTACGAAGCTGCTTACACACCCAATTTAGGGTGTCATAGTAACCAGGCGAATCCACCTTGACAAAGTAGGACAGGTAGGTCATAGCCGACAACTCGTCCAGGTCACCGCTGGCAAAGTTTTCAGGGGAGATAACCCGAGGTATGTTCAGTTTTTCCTTAGCGAGCACCATTGCACTGCGGCAATTCTCGACCCTAAAAATAAGATAATGTAATTCCTGTCATTTGTATTACAACTTACCTCGTGTTACCCATTGTTTAACATTGAAAATGAAAGCGATACGTTACTATCGATATAAGTACAAGAGATAAATATACATATATATAACAGACGTTTCTTGTGATTTGTGGGCGATCTCCAATGGTATACAGTAGAATAGTTCATATTAAGATGTGAAGCTGCGAATATTGAATATTGACATTCAGAAATCATAACGTTGTTATGAGGCATTTATCTTCCATTTAATTTGTCTATTTTCATCTTCACCTTATTACACTTGATTACATGTCGACAATTACAAGGACATATGTTTAATCCGTAATATGCCACAGTTTATAAGAAGTTGACAGAAAAATGAAACCGATGTCTATTTACTATAGTAATTTGTACTTTAACATGTCAGATTACTTAAACCATCGCGAGGTGGAAAACTATTCAAAGACACAATATTACTGCATGTTTTTATCTTATTACAAAACTTTTTTTTTTTTATCGTACTTCTTCAATGAGTCTTCAACATCTTATTGACATTGTAACCACATATAGCAAAAGCTCACTTATTTTTGCTGTGTAGTTTCCTCCAATCCGGACTCGTTCCTGGCTTCAGTCGTTCTATAAGTGCACTGAAAATTAGCAAACAACAAACTAATACATCTAATAATTTATTTCCAACTTTTCCAAAATATTTTAAGATATCAAGTCTGTCATATTTTAGTACAATGTATATGAGTAAGATTTCTTTATTTCTGAAACTCACATACATAAAGTGAAATGTGTTTAATTTGTGCCAATCTCTTGTAGTTCAGCTAACGTGACGCATTACCTCGCGATGATTACCCATTGTGATTAATGAACCGCAATCTGAAAATCAAAACCATGATTTCTTTGTGCGTTATGACGATGGACGTGTTTGATGCTTGCTAGTTTGCCTGTTGTCATTTGAGAACAAAATTGACATGGCGGGTGTTTTTGATGAAGCAGATGACGTTTGCTCTTCCGGAACACGGTCTTGTTTTCCATGTGTAAATCTTTCTTTTGTTCATATTTTGCCCTAGTTTTATTGAATCGTAGTTAGGATAATGACAACGTTCAAATGTTCAACAGAATGCTACCACTGGTTCCTGTTCAAGAGGTCTACATGCCCTTCCCATAATTCATGTCTTTTTATTACGTCGTTGTGGAATCTTTGCACACAATTTTTTTCATTTTGCGTTGTATTTTCAGGTATTGATTTTGAATGATTGTGGTATGTCACTAACTTTAAAATCTTTTGATTTGAGAAAAGTCCACAATATACTTACTGAAGTGCTATCCCATCTTCCCAATCTTTGTTGAAGTTGTTGATTTCTAGGTCTGGAATCGTCAACCTGAACCAGTCCATCATCAGCTTTTTGGGTGGGGATTTGGTTTTCCGGTTGGAAATTTGATATCGTACAATGAGGTGCCATATCAGACCAAGAATGAGTTTCACGTTACCGTTGACAACGTCTTCGTTACCTGTAAACAAGAGCGGAAAATAATTAATGATACAATAGTGAACAGAAAATAATTAGAGACACCTTGGCAGGGACGTCAGCAACATGTGTAAACCTATAGAACTAATAGGAAGCAGATTCAGAGACAATTTCCAAGGTTTACTAAATCATCTTTTCATGGGGACTTTATTTCGGTAGATTTCATGGCTACTTTTGAAGTATAAATAATTGTGTACTCGAAATGATGAATGGATGCAAATTGACCACAGTTTTACTAACAGAGTTTTTCGCGAGAAAGATGCATTAATAAAATTCAGCGCAAATGAAAATGCATTTTTATTGTAGGAGCATTAAACCTGAGTCAGTAAAAATATATGACTTTATAACATTGTTCGTAAGTCAACCATATAACTAAAATGTCAGCGTTCAGGACAGATGACAGTGACTCAGTATTCATTTATAACAGACACTGAAATACCAATCGAGGATGATTACGTAAAACTGCTTTTTATACTTTCTTTGGTTTAAACTTTTTGGCGAATATGTTAGGGCGTTAATGTAGTCGTTGAAGGGATTTTGTAACACACGTTATTTCCTTTCTCGCTGAATCACAATTCATTTATATATATATATATACACACACAAAACTATTTGCCAGTGGTTTCCTATGCATTTGAGAAGGCTTTTCGTAATTGTGACCAAACTTCAAATAAACAGAAACCTCGGGTAAAGAAAAAATAGTAAGTCACAATGAGGTAATTCGACCATCATACGTCCCTTCAACAATGTTATATATATGTATTGTAATAAACCATCCAGCTGTGTAACATCTTGTTTTTCTATTGATGTAAGTAAGTCATGTTGAATGTTATTGTCCTTATTTGTCTCCGTTGTTTAAGACTTAATAAATTGTTTTGGAAAAGAAAGAGAGTAATTTGGTCATCACTGTTCATTGCGAATAATAATGTAAATTTCTGAAAAAGAGCTATTCTAATTTAAACGCGAAGTAGTATTACCATAATTACTATCAAAATTCTCCAGATCAAACTTATATCCTTTATCAGGCGACCTAGTTTACGTGGATTAATTACCAGAACACTTCTGAAAACAAGATTATATGGGCTTCTACGGAAGGCCAATGTCATTGCATCCTAGTCAGTCTTCCATGCATATTTATATATCCTAATATGTATTGGCCATTCAGGTCTAAAAGTCTTAATTCAACCATAAGTAATATATATATATAATTTCCTTTCATAACATAACTTCTTTACCTGCACCAACATAACCTCCCATGCCCATTGCGGGAGCTGCTCCGTCAACTTTTATACACTTGCCGGAAGTTAATTTCTTTCCTTCTGTATCCAGATCATTATAAAGGTTGAATTTAGTAAACAAATGTGTGAAAATGGTAGTTTTCCGAAAGTGTTTCATGATAAACGTATTCTTTAATCAAGGCTGTAATAGTATGTCGGTATTTTCTTGTAAATTGTTCATAAGTTTATTCAAATTTCATGTATTTCTTCAATGTATTGACAGCTTGACTGTGATATCTGACAAGAAATACTGATTTCCTCACGGACGTAATACATGTTATTTCAGCAGGCTTGTCGTCTGCTTACAGTCATTATAATTTTTTGTAGGACAAGAATGTTAGAGCAAATAGATAAATAAACAAATATGTATCTTAATATATAATATATATAATCAAGTTGGTGTTATATTGTTTATAATCTAGGTCTATTTACCTTTTATCTAAATGAGATAAACGACGATAGACCTTCCCCTATGGTATCATCAGATTTTTCTGAAAACAACTGGCGCTGTATATTAGTTAAAAACTGTTCACTAGGAGTGTTTATCAGGTGCATTTAGTACCTAAGGTCAAGTGTTGTCTTACGTTGATAGCTCGCAATACTAAGAATTTAAAGCAAAAACGCAAGCTTCGATTAGCATATATGCATGATAAAAACATATGATTTCATCTTTCAGTATTTTTTTCTCTTTCTTGATAGGTCGTAACCAATATACTCTAAGGTTAAAGAGCTATAAGATAAATAGCGGTAAAAAAACCTAGTAGCTGCCAGACACTTGGTTCTGGACGCTAGGTTCTGGACACAATGCTCTGGACGCTAGGATCTGAACACTAGGTTCTTGACTCTAGGATCTGGACGCTAGTTTCCGGACGCAAGGCACTGGACTCTAGGCTCTGGATACAGATTAGGGATATAGGCAAGGGATATTGGGACACAGGCCAGGGTTACAGGGATACAGGCCAGGGTTACAGGGATACAGGCTAGGGTTACAGGTCGAGGATAAAAGAATACATTCCAGGGTTATATGACCACAGACCAGCGATACAGAGAAACCAGGCTAGGATACAGACACACCAGACCAGGGATACAGAGAAACCAGGCTAGGGTACAAACACACCAGGCCAGGGATACAGAGAAATCAGGCTAGGGTACAGACACACCAGGCCAGGGATACAGAGAAACCGGGCTAGGGTACTAACACACCAGGTCAGGGATACAGAGAAACCGGGCTAGGGTACAGACACACCAGGCCAGGGATACAGAGAAACCAGGCTAGGGTACAGACACACCAGGTCAGGGATACAGAGAAACCAGGCTAGGGTACAAACACACCAGGCAAGGGATACAGAGAAACCAGGCTAGGGTACAAACACACCAGGCAAGGGATACAGAGAAACTAGGCTAGGGTACAGACACACCAGGCCAGGGCCACCAAAATAGGACAAAGTGAGGATCGTGATGTATTATAGGATAAATGTGATATAAATTTGATGACGAGTTTTTATAGCATTGAATAGAAACGGCACGCAACAGGAAGAGACAAGCAAAGATACTAGTATATCTTCCCAATGACTCTGGACTAACTTTATCACAAGTCTATCAGCATGAATAAACTTGTCTTTGTTTCCAATCGATCTTTTTGCCACAGTAAACAAAGGTATCGCCCGTTAGTGACTTATTTACAAGCCTTCGGTATTAGATATTCAAGTGAACCTAGGCACGCATTTAATACACTTCATGTTGATTTGGTAACATTCTTCAAACACTTTGCTGCATCAAGGTTTGCATTTAGTAAATAACACATACACTGTAAATCGGCGATAATTGGGTTTTTCCTACAAGCATGACCCAGTTGCCAGTTGTAAAATTTTGGCCAATTTCTTGCTGTTAATTAGAGAAATATTGTAAAGAATGGTTATTGGGATACACAGCACACACGCTTATCAACAACGCCTTTGCCTGGAACTGATAACAAAATTTTGTCATATATCATTTTATCATGCTCGGAGATAATTTCTTGTTTGTACCCTGAATATTTATTGTGCACATAAAAAGCAAATAAAAAAAAATCGGCTTGTGTATGCAATTGTATTGTCACGTTTACGTATCGTCAGTCAAATCACGTGGTACAGATGTTCGCCTTAATGTATCGTCACGTTTACGTATCGTCAGTCAAATCACGTGGTACAGATGTTCGTCTTTATGTATCGTCACGTTTACGTATCGTCAGTCAAATCACGTGGTATAGATGTTCGTCTTTATGTATTGTCACGTTTTTTATCGCCAGTCAAATCACGTGGTATAGATATTCGTTTTTTATGTATCCTCACGTTTTTGTATCGCCAGTCAAATCACGTGGCATAGATGTATCCTCACGTTTTTGTATCGCCAGTCAAATCACGTGGTATAGATGTTCGTCTTTATGTATTGTCATGTTTTTGTATCGTCAGTCAAATCACGTGGTATAGATGTTCGTCTTTATAAAAACCCGGAAGAGGTAAAGGTCTTAAAATCAAGCAAGCGATTGATTTCATTAGCTCTTACTACGGAATTGTCAACGGAATTAATATATTTTAACTTATTAATCCTGAATATCTGCATTATTCTCTTGCTTAGATTACGATTGCTGATAAATCTTAACACCGTTTTTACCTCCGAAACCATAAACGCCTTAAATATCTGTATATTAATCGGCCACATTATATATCTGGAGTCGTTACATAACAGGAACAGCTGACAATACATCCGAGTCTCTTCATTTATGTATAACTGAATATCACCGACTCATGTGATGTGAATTTCATATCAATATAGTTTTGTTTAAAAAGTTTAAGTTGCTCAAATTTTGTTAAACTACATAAAGTGTTAAGTTAAAGTAAAATATTTCACTTTGAATCAAGAGTATGAGAAGTACCTGCCTTGTAGACTACAGTTTACATATAAGACCCAGTCAGTTGAAGTAACATTTTGTCGACACCTGTTCCACGTGACCAATTGCCTCATTAACTCACTCATGCTTAACTTTCGATTGCCTAAAGTAGGAATCGGGACCAATTTGAGCGGTGTCATATAGCTGGTACTGACGGTCTAGATTAGGAATTAACATAATTTAACAAAAACACTAATCGTAGCCACAACCCTTTAACTTTTAGCTGATAAAGGTAATGGAGACTTTGGGTTCTATTTGATGACCGGAAGTGTCTTTAAAAGTGGTTAGATATTACCCTACTGTATGGTACTAGTGTAATGACAGACCATTGTCTGATGTAAACGTATGTTTTATTTTGACGGGGGCAATCGGCTGTGTATTGCCGTGTGGTAGCACGATAAAATCAGCTTTAGTTCCGCAGTATCTCAAACAGATGTTTAGGAACAAATCCCATTTCCCAACAAATTCAAACAACCAATACATGTATTCACCTTGCTTACTTAGATGGCCGTCTTGAAGACCATAGCTGTTGATAGGAAGCTCAGCCATATAAAACCAAAACTAGACCATTCCCTTCCATCCCAAACAAAAATGTGAAAATAAATCCCCCGCAAAAAATAACGATTTTTTTACCGTCAATGTCCAGTCCATTTATAACACGTGTTTAATTGTATACAAAAGAGATTATTCGTAATATCTTAAACATACTGGATTTCATTTACCAGTCAATGACCAAGATCCAACGACTGATCCACAAGTCGTGAAGAAAAACAAAAAGTCCTGTATTAGATACATATATATCTGTGGTTCCAACAGACCCCACGACCAAAGGGGATTGATACTATCGTATAGGGACAGCTAGACAGATGTTATCATCCAGACGTGTTATGATTGGTAACCACGCAATGCCCCGGGCAGTACATATGGTCAGTAGAGATCGGAAACATTTATCGTTAGTGATGGTCATCCGGCAATAAAATTGAAATTCTAACATACAGTCCCAGTTAGAAGGTTTTGATATCAACTGACAGGTCCGTTGCTTAGATTAGGTTTTTTTTTATAAAGACAGATCCATACATGGTAAATATTTCACGGTGTCATGTTCCGTGTTACTTAGTGTTTAATGTGTTTTTCTAACTTTCTCTGTTCTAGACAGGAGAAATCAACCTGCATCATTTAGGAGATTGCTTAACACCAATAGCAAAACTTCACAAAGTGAGGTATCCAGCGGAGTTAAGAAGCATGGCTAGAAATGGTGAAAGGGGAATATTTGTATCGATGGGATTGAAACCTTAATAACTGTCCTCATCAATCTAGGAAAAACTTTGTATAGAAACAGACATACTCATCCCCGGTGTGGTAGTATGAAAGGTTTTTACTGGTCATAATGAAAATGAATTAATTTATTTTTTCAATAGCATTTTTGAGTGTATGCTCATATTACTTTCAAATCTTACAACAACAAAATTTGCATCGTAATAAAATTTCGTGATTGTTGAAATATAAATATATCGGCATAAATTCGGTATTTTCAGGATACGGGTTTCTAATATCAACCATCATCAACCCACAACGTCCAAGACAAACTCAGAATAGCAATAACACAAAAATAACGTAACATGATCAGAACAAAAGCAAATAAGCTTAGAAAATTAAATACTTGTTCCGGTAAGCGTTAATAAACTGTTCTGTTTCCGGCTGGTGGCACATAGATTCTATTTCCGGATAGTGTCATATATATTCTGTTTCCTTATTGTGTCATATAGATTCTGTTTCCGGATAGTGTCATTTAGATTCTGTTTCCGGATAATGTCGTTTAGATTCTGTTTCCGGATAATGTCATTTAGATTCTGTTTCCGGATAGTGTCATACAGGTTCTGTTTCCGGATAGTGCCATACAGATTCTGTTTCCGGATAGTGTCAGGATAGTGTCATTTAGATTCTGTTTCCGGATAGTGTCATTTATATATCATTTCCAGTTAGTGTTATACAAATATTGTTTACGGCTAGTCTCATTAAAACATTGTTTCGTACATGTGTCAAAAAGAGTTTTATCTCTTGCTAGTGTTGGGTAAACGATGTTCCCTGCACATACAGGTGTTCATATCTCCGTATATGCAGGAGCTGCAGTTATCGCGTAGTGTAACATACCTATGTTGACGAGTTTCACGTTGTCCTCCGTGATAGCGGTCAAAGCTAGTGAAACGTTTGCCAGACGCTGAATCTGACCTTGGGGTTTGCTGTACACGCGTCCGATCTTCTTCAGCTGTAGTGTCTCGACCAGGGCCACAAGGTGTACTCCATCACATAGGTCTGTCCCTAAATTAGTCAGAGAACGAGCACTGTACTGACTTAACTGTTCATTTACCCAGTTCGTAAAAGTGGATTGCTGTATCTCCACCCAGCGGTCCGAGCCCGGGGGTTGGGGATTTCCAGCATTCGTGAAACCATTAGAATATTCTGGATTTACACTCATTTTTTTTACTTCCGAAGTCCGTCCATTTAACTTTACTTGTTTCAGGTATGTTGTACACAGGTAACACACTATTGATTAAAGCTTATCACCGGTGTAGCATTCTGGTGTAAATACAGGCGTAGTAGTGTACGTTGTGTGTACTACCTGGCTGCTGAAATTTATCGCCCCATGCATTCATTGATCACATTCTTGACTGATAACGGGTTTTACGGCAGGCAAGGTAAAACGCGGGACAGCCTGATCTACAGATTACCATATTTATTATATATAAGTGTATAGTAAAAATACTGATATACATGTACTTTACATCTTTTTAATATTCGTTTATAAGTCAAGGTTTTTATTATATTTCAACGACCCACCAACAAGAAAAACGAATGCCAAAGAAATATCTTCATTAAAAATATAGATTGACTAACGTCACACGCATGGCTGAAAACAACAAAGTAGCCGTAGTAAAGTGTATCGTGTTATAGAGACAGACTTCACGTAGTCTAGAATTACAATTCAACTATCCTCTATATGTGTACAGTGCAGAAGTCAAATACGGTACACGTTACATTTACAGTCGAATCAAATATTGTACAAATCCTGTATTTAAAGCAGCTTCAGTACGTAATACTCGAGATAAGAGCGTCCGGGACCATTTACAAGAAACACGAACTCTTTATTTATTTATTTTCTACACACTTTTTTTTTTTTTTTTTGAAATTCTGTTTTCTTTTATATTGACAATGGTATTCTTTGAACAAGTCACCTGAAGATCTCCGTCAGACGGATCCAATTTTATTGATGTCTACACAATAGTTGTACGCCATAGTTTTAACATTTTCAAATCATGCATTCGATGTCTTTTTCTGCGTTGTTACAGAATGATGTTGGAATTATTTCAAGTTGTCATACACAGGATATTTCTTCTGATCATCCGTAGATCATTTTGGGAATATTTTTTTGACGTCCATTCTGTCTTAGAAAACAATTCTACTTTCAACGCCTCTATTCTTACTGTCGACACGATACATTCAGCAGCAGGTGTTGTGATTCTATCTCGGCTCATACTCGTCCTAATTTTCAGTGAGTCTTGAGATCTGCTGAAATGTCTAGAAATTGTACATTTATTGCTGGTTTTCTGCTCTTGACTGTTGCCTCGCAGTTTCGTCCCGTACAGTATTGTTATAAGTTATTTCTTCCTTAAAATACTGTAATCACTTTTTCTTCAAACATTTCCCAAATTTATGACGTTGCTTTAATTATTTCAACGGATATTCTTATGGATGTTTCTGGTGTTTTCTAACGTCTGTCTGCTTTTCCTAATTTGCTATTTAACGGAAATCGGAAAACATTGCGCCTAATCTTGCTTTAATGATCGTTTAATCTGATTTGGGTTTTGTATTGCTTGATGATCTTTCGACGGTTATAATCATTGAAGGACTTTTGTATGGAAGTGTTTTGTTGAGTTCGTATGTTTTAGAGAGTTCATGCAAGCCTCCTTGCGATGGTGCGGAAACGAGGCCGTCAAAGTGATAGTGTATAACTGCTGAAGTCTGCAAGTCGGACATTCAATTTTGCCTTATTTTACAGACAATACTGCACTTATACATTGCTGAGTTCTAAGCGGAGGAAAATCACTATTCTACTCTAACCTACATTAACGTATTCTACTTAGGTATGTCCTGGACAGGGGTCAAATAAACAGCCCTCATCAGAGGTGTGAGTTCAGCTCATTGTCACATTTGTGATATTAAACATGTGGCATTAGTCGTAATAACATGAATATAATTTTCTATTGAAATTGCTGTGGTATTTGATATGTTTGAAAAATTGATTTAAAACGAGAGCGTCGTGCGTATATTGTAACGATATCAGCACATGGCCTAAACAGCAATCAGAGGGAAGGGAAATAACTCCCATATTCATGAGCAAAAACAGCCAACGATAACCTTTTGATTGTAATGAAGTAATGTATTTACAAAATAGAGTTAATCAACTAGCATGTTACTCTACAACAGGTCCATTTACAGGTAATTTTCTTTGTCTTTTATTGACAAAAATCTAATGGTAGAATGTGAAAACAATTTCTAAAAACTAGGATTTTTAGGGGGCACGGTACATTTTTGTGTTTTGTCGGGTTTATCGCCTTGGTAACAGCCAGTGTCAATTCGAGGCGTAGTCTTCTTGTAGTGACTGGTGCCTTCCTCACTGAACAACATACAGGATGCTCGTCACATACCATCCTGAGTTATGGTTGTAAAATGTCTTCTATACGGACAATTTCACGACAGCACAGACCGGTCCGTTTCTCAGTTTTTTTTTCAGAAAGACGAACCAACATGGGTAAGGAGTTTCGAAACATTTTCATGTGCGGTCAAGGCTGTGGGTCAAGATCAGGTCTCAAACAATTGTGTATACATGGCTTCCCACTGTGTTTGATGACACTGCCTCACATTTAGACTGTCTGAGGTGAGTGTATGTGGGAGTTACTCTGGTATTTGTCGACGAGACCTTGTATGTCTCAGTCTCCCCCCCCCCCCTTCCACAAACACATACACACAACTCATACACTCACCTTGCATGTCTCAACCTCCCACAAACACACTCACACAACGCATACACTCACCTTGCTTGTCTCAGCCTTCCACAAACACACGCACACAACACATACACTCACCTTGCACGTCTCAGCCTCCCACAAACACACACACACAACACACACACTCACCTTGCACGTCTCAGCCTCCCACACACACACACACTACACACACACTCACCTTGCACGTCTCAGCCTCCCACAAACACACGCACACAACACATACACTCACCTTGCTTGTCTCAACCTCACACACACACACACGCACACAACACAAACACTCACCTTGCACGTCTCTATGTGTTCATTGGCAAAGCCGGTTGCCCAATTCCTTTTGTCAGTAAAACCACGACAACAAAATATTCTGATAGTATAAATACAACTACAAATAACAAGGTGTACAGGAGATACAAATACCGAAGATACCTGTAGTCTGAAATAGTTGTATAGTTCAACAGTAGGATGTCCACTCGGGTCACATGTTGGCAATGAAAGAAGTAGCCTTACTGTGCATTTAACCTGGGGCGTCAATCACAGTACCAGGTGCGAATTCTATAATCAATCACGGTTAGGGGGTAGTACTCTCATCATTAAGGCACTCACACCATAAATTCATTCGTGCAGACGCTTTTAAAAGGTGAGGTTTTCTGAAAAGTGAAAATATTTAAGAAAAAAGAAGAGATTAGATATATTTGGTCGCCCTAAGCTATCGTAGAATTGAACAGCAGTTATGATCCTTACCCCCTATCAGCAAGGAAACCTATTTCAGTACGAACTGTAAAGCAATGACTCCAGCCTGTTGATAAGAAGTCTACTGACTCACAGTCGTAAATATGACCTAAATTGATTATATATGAAATCTTATAATACTTAATTGTAATACACGTATATTTCACATCGCTTTAGCTTGTTTAAACCCTCCGATCAACAAATTAAAAACGACAGATATTGTAGTCACCATTACCGATGTCAAAAACAAATGATAAATAATTATAAATAAATAAATAAATAAATATGATATATGATATACACAACAACAGGTGTCATTCTCCTCACACTACCATTCCAAAGTCTAGGACAATTGTCGCCTTATCATCGTGCCTTAGATTTCATAATCATGTGATCACGTTGAATCGCCGATAAAGCTCCATATAAAGAATCATTTTGATGTTGTCAGCTGTTTCAGAAATACAACAAACAAGGTAAGTTCGTCTCTTATTCATTGTGTAAACTGCTGCCTGCAAATGTGATGGGATATTTATATACATATTTACATATTGTTTAGCACTGATATTAAACATATTTTGATATTGGAATTTTAATTGAAACGGTAAAACGATTAATCAGAAAGTATCACACAAAAAACTCACTTACATTTCAAAGGGAGGGGGGATCTATGAATGAAAGACAGAATAAATAAAAGTCTTACAAGTAACTGATATCAAAGCATTGTACAGAACGACGACCAAATGAACTAGACAAGATTGCAATGTTTTAGCGAGCGACTAAGTCAGGTGCTTCAAAATATTTCTTTATAAAAAAGTTATTTAAAACATAATTGATAGTATTATTCACAGCTTTTCAAAACCTTTAATTAGACAAATGTTTTTATTATTCACAGAATTGCTTTCTTTCTCTCTGATATGCATTTAAGTGATTTCTATCCTTGATGCATTTTTTTATTCTCTTTTGCAAACAACGAAATTTCTTACGAAAACAATATCCTAACACAAGATGAAAGTAATTCACTTTTAGTCCTATATTACTCTGACAGGTTTCTTATGCAAAGGGAACACATTTGATAATTTGGTGCTGTGATATTTCGTTGTGTCGTCCTCTCTTTATAGCATCATGTATCTGTTGCTGGTAGCGGTATGTTTGGTGTCGGTTAGCGCTGTGCCGGTGAAAAGGTACGTAAATATACATGTTTGTAGAATTATGATCTTTTATAAATCTGTGTATCTTGGTCGGTCTGGATGGCTCTGTTGACATTCAAATGTTATTTTTAAAATGTTGGAAAAAACTTATCCGTAATTATATAATGCTTTGTAAAAATTAAATAACATTTCAATGATAATTCAACTGCTGATTTTAAATAATTAACTTTCGAAACCATGTACTAAAATTCAGTATGTGACGTCATAGGTGTGATTACGATTGCGTCATGGGACTGGTAGAACATGCTTACCACCACGTAGATCTTGGACAGCCTATAGGTTCATACAGTAAGTCGTTCATTTTTTATTGCATTCAAAGTCAATGCGTCTGTCTTATTAATTTAAAGTAAACAGTGATGAGGACAAGTTTTTCTAAAAACGCATGTATACATAGCATTTTTAAGGAAATTAAAATTTTCTCTTTGTAATTAATTTGTCTCGTTTTGAAGGACGAGAACTGTAAATATATCGTAGAAATAAGGTATGATTATGTTTAGAATTTCCAATATGTAATAAACATGTAACTTCTCTACCAGGTGGAGCTTCTTCAACTTACGTAGGCAAACGGGACATCAGGTAGGTCGGAATGTTGTTAATGTTACATATCTGATATTGAGTTTGCCCCTTAAGTCATAAGCATGTTGTCAATTGTAAATAAGGTCAAGGATAAGGTCTTTGGTCTTTACATTGTATGATATCCTAAAAATACTGGCGAGAGGACAAAAAAGGATACATCGTAAAAATTCGAACACAAATGTGTGAGTAGACATAGCTTCCATACTTGTCCGTTTCATCGCTAACACTGGTCATGTACTTAAAGTAAATCATGGAGTAAAAATCAACAAACCATTAAATATGTATTATTCATATTTCGATATTTTTCGAGAGAATAAGGAAAATTTAAAAGAATATGAGTTAGAAAAATGGGGAAAAATAACAGTAATTTTCTGACCATAATATAAATAGTTTTAAAATGTACGACACTGAAACCGTTTTCTCACAGGAGGCATTTTCATTCCCTTAGTAATTTAGGTATTGGCTGTGTGTATCTTTCAAGGGTTGGTTAATTTGAAAGCGTTATTTTGTGATCAAGGAAATACTAGGCTGAAGGTTACGAACTGTTGGACTGTGTAGAATGGATTTGTAATGATATTGTTGAGAATCAGATTTATAAGATTATAATTGACACTGACACTTTCATCTATATGGTTGACTATATCATTAATACATCATTCCACTGTACACGGTCGCTTTCATGGTCATGATTACAATATACCTGTAGGTGGTAATTCGGTGTTCAGTGAACTGTGGTAGCAAGTGATTTAATACTCCACCTTTTGTTAGAAGTATGCAGTTAATAGTATTACAACTCAAATATATCATTCTGCTACTTTAAGGCAAAAGTTGGTTCCTTTCCAACGAGCATATGACTTCGATCGAGACGACCGAATTTCCGAATGCGAATTCTCTGAACAATAGCCGCCATATTGTTAAAGAGTTTGGCATTTGCATTCTTATATGGTCTTTGCACTCACTGCATAATTCATGGCTGAAATTGCTTTTCGCAAAAATCGCTGAAAGAAGAACTGAACTGATACATATTGTTTTGATATATAGGTAAAACACACCAACAGAGATGTGTCTTTCTTATTTCATTTATTACTGGTGTTTATTGATATACAATGCTTGCCATATCTTTCAGTGCCATGCTACAGTCTCTATCATCTTCAATAGCTAATGCTGGGACGGCCTTACAGCAGACGTTTGGTTCTCTTCCTCAGCATGGCTCGGACGCCTTGTCATCAGTGATCCAGACCGCTCTCCATCCCGTAGCCGGACTACTAAACGGTATGTCATAGAAATAAAAAATGTGGTGGATAATAGAGAGAAACTTGCTTCTATTCAAACCTTTCTATACATGTTATGATGCACAAATGTCACTGGAGTAATGCACGCTAGTATTTTCTTTATTTGTAGGTGTAATGGACGGTCTTCAACATGCCAATATGGTCGAGGTTGAGAAACGCGGGGCCAGGTAAGCTAATTATGGGTTTTAATGATTTGTTAAATTATGTCGTTACTTAGTTAATTGTTTTCTTGTTAAAAGGTATTTTCATGAAGTCATAAATGAACAAATTAAGCATAATAGTGTGACAGATTTCATGCAACGTTTTGAAAAAATCTTTTTAAATTATAGAACTTGTTCTTCTCAATGGCACGTCGTTACACGTTATTTTTTATTTCAGGATTTTATATAGCTTTAGAGTATCTTATTCTGCATTGTAAGAAAACATGTTATTCATATGTTTGTCTGCGATTACAAGTAACACCTTTATATGTTTGTCTGCGATTACAAGTAACACCTTTATATGTTTGTCTGCGATTTCAAGGAACACCTTTATATGTTTGTCTGTAATTACAAGGAACACCTTTATATGTTTGTCTGCGATTACAAGTAACACCTTTATATGTTTGTCTGCGATTACAAGTAACACCTTTATATGTTTGTCTGCGATTTCAAGGAACACCTTTATATGTTTGTCTGTAATTACAAGGAACACCTTTATATGTTTGAGAACGATCCATTTCAAGGTACCTCTCAAGAAATGACGATATGAGCAGTTCCATTTTTTTAACTTCTCACCTCAAACTTTTGTTTCATTTTTCTTTACGTTTTCTTATTTTTCTGGTGTCTACATTTATATTTCCATGTCTATGTTTGGCTAACTTATGTGTTTGTATATTTGTATGGTTTGCCTGTGTCGGTGTGAGTGTAAATGTGTATGGGTAGAATGTGTGCATTTTTGGAAAATTAGACAATCATTGGTATTGTTTTTCCTCATTCACTTATTTCTTTGTCATTATAGGGCTGGTAAAAGTTTGCCGCTCGTAGAAAAAGTGTGTAGGTCCCCATTCGAGATGTTATCACCATTATGTCGTCATTAGAGACATTATCACCATTATGTCGTCATTAGAGACATTATCACCATTATGTCGTCATTCGAGATATTATCACCATTATGTCGTCATTAGAGACATTATCACCATTATGTCGTCATTAGAGATAGTATCACCATTATGTCGTCATTCGAGATATTATCACCATTATGTCGTCATTAGAGATATTATCACCATTATGTCGTCATTAGAGATATTATTACGATTATGTCGTCATTCGAAATATTATAACCTTTATGTCGTCATACATTATCACTCGGTAACCCCTTTTTCGCACTGTTTGGAGTTTTTTCATTGCTTAATGTCCGTTTTTTTTCATCGGCCTACCTTCGTTCTCGAAGTGCGTGCATGTTATGAGTGCGTTGTTGGAGGCTGCTATATGTTCCTGATAATGATGTCCTAGTATTTCATCATCACCATGTTACATCTATGTCAAAAATGTTGCCGCGTAAGCATTTTATATTTCAAAACTGCGATTTATTTCAGTGAGTTTTTCTCTAACATCGGACATCAGTTGTCAACAACTTTTACAAACCTCGGTCACGCCTTCCAGAACACATTTGAAGAATTAGCGCATACTGCTGCCCTACAGGGAACTGAGCTCCTTAGCCAGGCTCTACAAGGCGGAGCAATGGTTGTCGCAAACGGGGCAAGCAGTAAGTCCTCCTTCACCAAAGTAATTCAAACATAGAATATGACGACACGATGGAAACTATGATATTCTTCCCCACTAGATTACAGTGAAACCTCACTATAAAGACCACTAATTCAGTAAACTGTATTAAATAGTGATACTGTATTTTTTAACGTTGTTAATATTCTCAGTACAAAGACTTATACCTATAACATTAACAGTTCACCGATGTACTCATTGGTCAATGTTTCACCTCCTTGGTAAGTAAACCTGAATTGTTTTGATAGATACTCATTTCTGTAGCTGATTGGTATTAAGAAGATTATGCAGACAAGATAGCAACGTCATAGTTTATTTTCTAGTTTAGTGTTGTAAACTGTATGAAATATTGATACTTTATTTTACAACGTAATTAATATTTTCGATAGGGAGACTTTATCGCACTCTCATGATTAAATGAAATAAGCATGACAAAAGTAATATTGGGGTGCAGACGATCTATTGATGGTGAGGATGGTGCCTGGGAAAAATTCCTGTCGATGAACAGCATCAGCACTGAAACAATAGTTAACTTCATGTTGGAGAAATTGTTCTGTAAAAATATATAATTTTCAAGATATTTTCGATCACTATCACTAGTGACATTGTCTTAAACGTTCTTTATGTTGAAATATGTTAACTAGGAGAAAGAAGATACCTGTCTATTATTCCCCAGAGGAATTCGTCAGTTCAGTTTTATTGATATTTTTGTTTTGGCAAAGCATTATTGATATAATCAGTTTATTTAATGTTGTAGCCCTTGCTAAAAACCTGCAGCACACCCATACCGATGCACAGAAAAGATCTGCCCAGTAAGTTAATATACTCCCCCGAAAGAAGAGATTATAATCGTCGCTTTGTCATAGCTGTCAGTACGTTCGTCCGTCATAATCTTGTCCGGAGCATATCACAAAAACTATAAGAGGAATTAACATTAAACTTCATAGGTAGATAGATCTCAAGACGGAGAAGTGCGTTATACAAGAATCAATTTTGCATAAATACCCTGTTTAGAACAAGCGTTTATTCGCGAGCATCCCTCGGTTCGACCGATTCTTTTGTTTTTGAAACATAATGGGATCGTTTACTGAAAAGCCTGATGGAAAGATGTAATGTTTGCACGAACAGTAAAATGGAATCTGTGGGAACGAAGGGAAAGATGTCATTTGTTGCTGAATTCCATGCTGATATTTCAGGTAGTGTTAACGGAACATATACAAACCTTATGGGAATTACATGTATCTGTTTCATGTTGTTTCTGTAACCCCTTACACTTGTTTAAATCATCTAGTAGCCATAGTCCTGGGTACAAATCGATTCAGTCAAGAACAATAAAACTGTATTGTTAGGCATATATATGTACTAGTTATTGCGATAACATTTTATATGTAATGATAATGTCCAAACAATTTCCTAAAAGATAGAAAATTATGTAACATTTCATAAACCATTTACACTTCAGTCAGCTTTTCTCTAACATCGGACAACAGCTGTCAACAACTTTTACAAACCTCGGTCACGTCTTCCAGGAAACATTTGAAGGGTTAGCGCAGGGAAGTGACCTCCTTAGCCAGGCTTTACAAGGGGGAGCACAAGTCCTAGCAAACGGAGCAAACAGTAAGTTATACATGACATCATGAACAAAATGAAATGTACGCCATCGTCAGTAAAATGCAACCCAGATGGTGTCGGTGGACTTCATGAATTGCAATACATGCTAGTGTGGGCTGTTATTTATGTTTCAATTTCTCTTTTTTTGAAGACATTGCTGCAAACCTCCAGCCTTCACAGACCTTTGAACACAAAAGGGATGCTGCGTGAGCTAATAGTTGATATTGTTACAGTTGAATCTCATTATCTCGAACTCGTATGATTCGAAGCACCCGTTTAACTTGAAGAATTTCACACTAGACATTCGAACTCACTTAAATCGAATACTCTGATACATTGAAGTTTTCCCACGGTCCCACCAACGTCGAGATATGAGGTTCGACTGTATATATTTAAAATCCCATATCTTGAGTAGCATTAGGAGCAAGAAATGATGGACAAAGATATCCAGAATTAAAACAATAAACAAACAAACAAGCGCAAACTGTAAAAGACAAATGTAAAAAAAAACTCACTCCAAACAAGGAAGTTCTTTTAAAAGTGAATCAGGTTGACAAATTAGGGACAAAGACCACACTACAGCATTATTAAAGCTATTTTCGGAAATACAAATTTTGCTGAAAAGATCTTGGCAAGGAGAAAAAAGATAAGCGCTACGCTCTTGATAAATTATGAAAAGGATAATACATTAATTCAAAACTGTTTTGTATTTCAGGGACTTTCTCGCCGAGTTGCAACAACAGCTTCAACATCTAGGTGATCTCCTCAAACCCTATGTAAACCATGAGGCTAATAGTAAGTTGAAATTCTGGTGAAGCTCCTGTCTACGCAAACCGAAATGATTTTCGACCAATTAAAATAACATTTGTTTTAATTTTGAGTACAACCTACAAAATACATTGATGCATTTCTAATATGATTTCTCTGACAGAGAGTTAACTGAATACCGAACAGGCAAATAATCACCAAATCTTTAATAGACAGGTGAACTTTATCAATTATTATATTTATATTTTGTATTTATAATTATTTTGCTAGACCTGTTCCAGAACCTGGACACGAGTTCATAAATGGCAGAGAATAACCAACGCAGGTGAAGAAATAAATTTCATCTAATATACTGTTTCTTTGAATCATTTTACTCCTCTGTTCAACATTTGGACATACACACGATTAACAAGTTTACTTATATACATTGCATATGAAAGTAGTTAGCGAAGTGGTGGAACTGATTATGACGTCTGTTGACGTTGAAGCGTGATAATGAATTAAGAAATGTCGGAACTTGTCCAGTATTCACATTTTATACCCGAACTCCAAACCACACAGCAATCGTCTTTCATCACACTAGTGTATCTAAGGTATGTAGTAAATTTAGGAAATAAAACGAGATACATAAAAAGAACTAAACCCATCACATCGTGTAAATAATTATTGATAAATACATCTAGAATTACTGCTAAGCATCCGCTTTTTGTCTGGCCGAATGGTAGCTGATCGGAAGCCACACGATACAGTCGATTAGTCCGGCTGAACGATAAGCACACTTTCAGCAACCGAACGGTCGATATACTGAAAAGGAACGAAAGCTTAGATATACGAACGTTCGGTCGGAAATGGAACGAACTCTCTAACGAACGAAATGTCGGTCGAAAATGGAACGAACACTCTAACGAACGAACGGTCGGTCGAAAATGGAACGAACTCTCTAACGAACGAACGGTCGGTCGAAAATGGAACGAACACTCTAACAAACGAACGGTCATTGAGAAATGGAACGAAAGTTCTAACGAACGACGAGCATCAAACACAATCTGCTACATATCTCATCAAGAAATAGAATGTTTCTAAATGAGATCACTTTCACCACCGTAGGCCCCCATCCCACTCCCGATAATTTTCAACAACCTGTATCGTTTGAAACCCTTTGTTACGAGTTTGGATGTCTATTTACGACTTTTTTCACGAAAATCGTGATATTGGGAACAGGTCCTGGAATATCGAATTAGCTGCGACATGTTAACTCAATGGGTTGGGGATGCAGATCGTTGTATCCAAAAATGACAAAATTCCCAATAGAGAAATTAAAATCATCACGCTTATCTTGTAATTAAAATAAGATCGCTAATTTGTACCAATACATTATAAATTATAATACCTGGGCACGCAGTGTCTTCTTCACACAGCTCGGTTGCTGCACAATCTCCCTCACAGTCTACGCCACCATGCTGAGGAGTAGGGTTGTTATAGTTTCGCGACCGCGTGTGAGTTCCCTGTACTATGAAAACAGAGCCTCGATATGGATTGCAGGTCATCGAGCAATTATATGTTGAGGATGGTATCTTATACGAAGACTTTCTGGTATGATGACGAAGACATTAGCATCTCTATCATTACCAGGACACAGCGATGATACGGTACAGTCGGCTGTCTCTTCACTTGCACCAGAACTTGGGTTTCCGCCGTAAATAGGTTCAGTACAGTGTCGCTTGTCTCACCTCCTTGTTGGTATTCTATACTTGCACAAATGATACTACAGTCACTCCATTCACCACAAGCTGTCCACACGCCATCAACTTCAAAAACGGAATTTCATTCCATTTTCTGTAATCGTTATAATCGAACGAGGCCCAATGACCTATAAAATAATTACTAAATCGAGTAAGATACAGCGAATATAACATGCTACATCAAACGAAACATTGCTTTTGACCAGGGGAAAATCATCTGCTTAAGACGATATTAAAAACAGCAGCTTCACATATCAATATGTTGTGATTGCCGCAGTTGTGAACTTCTTACGTGCTGTTTCAGCTATTTTTAACATAATTGTTGATTATGATAAGACAAAAAATGTATTAGAATTTGAGAAGACGTTCGAAATAAGTGTTGATTGTGTAATCATGTTGCTAATTGGTCACCTTGGCTGCCAGCGTGATAGTGCCGAAAACTAAACTCTGACGGCTTCCGCTCATTAACATTCCAACAAGTTTTCAGATCAACGGGAAGTTTTAAATGCTTTTGAAATGTGTAGGACATAATGGAATTCGAAAATCAAAATCACTTGATCATTCAGACAAGTTTCAGCTGAATCTCTCTGGCGGAATTTAAGAGGAAGTTTAAAATGAAACAAATTTACAGCCTGCTCAGAACGACGGATGAAACACAATTGTCAGACGTCCTACCATTATTGAATCAAAATGCAATTTAAGAAACACAATTTCATATCAAATTACAAAGGAAATAAAGTTTTAAAGATAGTTGTTAGAAACTGAAATAAACAGGGCAATACCTCCTCCAATACTAGCGGTTAGGAAGTCACCAATTATTATCGATATTATCTCGAGCTGGATATAAAGTTTACCCAAAAAGTAATTTGTTATGAAATCGTTTCGGCTTGGTCTGTGTACGTATGATAATGAAGGTTATATCTTCTTAAAGTATATTTGTGAATCAAATTCATAAATCTATCATGGAAATGCCGACAAATATCCTATTGTTCAAAGTGTGTCGTTCATACTTGACGTGGGAGTACACGGCTGCAATGGTGAAACTAAAAGTAGTGTTCAAATCACATTATCATGATTTTCGTGCAGAGCAAGACGTCGTCAACTGGCGGACATAATTGTTACACAGGGTTTGATGTAAATTTTAGAGAAGATTATGGTCCCCAAAGTGACCTCATTGAGAAATATTATATCATATATATTCTTATAGGAAGCTGGACGTTTTTGATGCTCGTAAGTTTGCCTTTTGGTTTCGTTTTTTAATATCTTGTTCTCATTTGAGAACGTGACATTACTTACTTGGATTGACCAAGGTTTACACAGCGGGTGTCGTCGATTAAGCAAAAGACGCGTACTCTTCCGGAACACCTGGTCTTATTACCATTGTTCGATTTCAGGAGTCTCTTTGTAAATCTTTCTTTTGTCCATATCCGCCCTTAGTTATATTGATTTTGAGTTCGAATTATGATGATTTTAAGATATTAGTCTTTAAGTCCCACGTACTAATTAACAACATGGGAATTTCAAGGTTTGTCTCCCCAAGCACTCATTGCCATGTGTTAACATTGGCCAGGATGTTGAACACTTTTCAAATGTAAATATAGGAATTGTAGTACTTACTCAATACCAAAGGATGTTATAACTAAGTTCCTACAAAGTACAGTTGTTACCCATTAAGTTTAGATCCCATAATACTCACCAGATTTGCTGGCCCGAGGCGAAGTCCGACAGCTATGCTATGACTCTCATGTTGAGCCCTACCATACATGACTCCAGAGAAAGCTGCTATCGGAGACACGTGACTGATACAGTGGTACCCGTCGTCTACTCTCACATAACGTTTTGTCAAGTCAGTTCCTGGGATGTTTTGAAAGTTTGTACTTGTTTTCCGACCAGACGCATTTGATCCTCCTGACTGGCTTTGGTAATAATCATCAAAACATTAGCGTAACTGCCTCCTGTAATACTTGGTGTTGTGAATATATAGCCCGGTAGGTGCTGTTCATTTGGGGGTATCAGTAACATAGATGGATCGTGTTTATTTTTACTACTAGACTGGCTAAGGACAAATTGAACAACCATTTTTGCGTGATTGGATATGAACAAACAATATCGCCTGGATGGATATGCAAGTGAGACAAATGTGTCATAACCATCAGATCATTTTAGGCATGCTACGTCGACTAATGTAGAATCTGCACTAGCAACAACTTTGAAGAAATCCCCAACTGTTCTTTCAGGGACAGGGACAACACTGTACCCCACTAGTGAGAACAGCTGTTCTACTAAATGTTCACAACTGATACCGGAATTCACAACTGTTTTGCGATTTCCACTCAAGAATGTGGTTGGTTTGTTGGATCTAATTAAAGAACCCGTCAAATCACCAGCGTTTTGTATTTGTATCGTACCAAACTTGTTCAAAGTTATTTGAAATGTGTCACTAGGTTTACATTCAATGTTAGCAAACCTCACAGAATTCGCTTCCTCGTTGTTTGAAAGCGTCACATCAACAATCGTCCCGTCCTCCGCCGCGACAATTGCGAAACGGTAATGATCATCAGGAAACTCTGAAACAGCGTAGTATTCTGTGTTTAGAGCAGACACGGGGAGAGCTAAGTACCCATCACTAGTAACCTTCTGTCTATTGATAATTAATAGCACTATGTCACCAGAGGCTTGAACGTGAATTCCTTTGAAAGATTGTTCGCTCCCTTCAAGCTGTAACGCGATGTCGATTTCAAGTTTCATAGAGTTACCGTTGTTAACAGTGACCTTATGGGACAACTTGTAGGATGTAAATGAATAAACAGTCCCTTATAGATACCTCCAGGTTCTAATTCCTACCTTCATGGGTATGTCTCCTTATGTGCATGACCGCAATGCAAATCATGGGGTATGGCGGGTTGAAGGCTTAGGATTAAAATAAGTGATAAGTCTCAAATTCACCTCCTTTAGGTCTAATAGGTCTTTAGGTAAACCTCTCTCCCATTCCAGCGTTATATACAAACTATATGAGATGATTTATTTTCTGAATATATATTAAAATACTTTAATTGTTTAATTGTACCTTTCGAGTTATTTCCCTTACCATGTTAATTCCGGATATTTCATTCCGTATCCTTTTTCATTTAATTATAATTTACTTTTTCCGGATATTTGGTTTCTTATATTATGTAATCTTTGTCATCAAGAAGTTTGAAAAATATAGAAGTTTGAGAAGCTTTGTTTTTGAATGTTTTCCTGTACTGCACACCAGGTCCACACCAACAAACAAGATACAAAACTGAGAAACATCGACAAGCAGGGATGTTGTCTACAGGGTACCACTTCACATCTCCACTAAAGTATTTTGCAGGAGCACTGACCAGAAGGGCATCTCGCAAGATACACTTCAAAGGACAATAAAACTGCACACCGTGCCACCACCCATTATTACAGACGGATATAAAACACTAATTGTGACGTCATACATAACAGCAAAACCAAATAGATCCTCCAATCAAAACGAGCAGCAGCTTTACCTAGGTCAACACTAAGAAAGCATACGACGACGTGGTAAC